GAAGTGAGTGATTCCCGCACGGTGCTGTAGGTGCTCGGGCTCGAGTGTCGCAGCGACGACACATTCCTTGACAGCGTTATGCAAGCGCGGCTGTGTGTCAGGCTAAGAAGCCTCCGTCTTTAAGGGGGGGGGGGATGGGGGGGAAATCAGCAGTGGAGATGGCGTTGCAAGGCTCCAAAATAGTTACTGCGTGGCTTCAGAGTGCTTATGGATTTATGGAAAGCCTATCTGGTTAGTGCACAGACGGACGCTTTGGGGCCGGTCAAAGGAAGACGAATAGTAGTCGGCCCGTCGTACTGATAAAATAAAACAATAAATAGAAAAAGAATTTAAGACACGGAATAAGAAGACGGTATAAAAATACTAGTAGGAAGAACAAATAAGGCTGGGCTATTATGCTTTTGTCGCTCGAGCTTTTACTGTCAGAACTTGTTCCTGGCTAATGCGATGGGATGAAATGGCAATAAAACCAAGCCTTAGCAGATTAGATCTTAACCAAAGAACGAGTGTCAGTTGAGCCAGGAACTGGAAAAGAGCTGGTGGTCCGAAAATTTGGGAGGGAGAGATTGATTATGGAAAAGGAAAAGAACTCGTGGCTGGGGGAGGGGGGGTGGAAACGGGAGGATGACGTTGGTCCACCACGTACGAGTACTAATTATTCCAATTTCTACAACCACAATTGATAGCCATTCTTTTCTTCTCTCCATCATTGACTAGACAAGTACATGTGTCATGTGCACATAGTAATTTCTCAGTATGCTAGTCTACTAGTACAAACATGGTGAACATAACAACAGCAAGAATAATAATAGTCCTTGTTGGTACTCCGTACTTAATAGCCGGATAAAGCATTGCCGATTCTACCCCCGGAACAAGTCGATCAAACGTTTCCTCTTAGGTGCACGGTCTATCGGTCTGATAGTATTGGAGTTGAACAAGAATGTGTGTGCGCGTGCATCGACAGTATAGGAGAGGTAGTACTCCGTTACCTACACCGTTGTACGGGGCTACAGCCTCCATCCCACCGAATAGGGACTGGATTTCACACCGAAAGATCGAGGCGGGAACGGTGAGTGGCTGCCATGATCGGGACTGGAAGGTACTAGCTTGGTTCACGGTGCCTTGGGCCAGCGGGATGATGCAGAGACTCCCCATTAAACCCAACCAACCACCAGCTGCTGCTTAACAGGGTTCCCACTGCCCCGGGGGGCAAATCAAATACACGGCCTCCTCGGAAAAGTCACAGAAGAAGAAAAAAATGAAAAGAAAAACTTAAGCCTTGGAGCCTGGAGCCTAAAGCCTGTACCTGAAAACGCATGGCCTCCCCTCCCAAGAAGCACTTAAAAATTCTTTGACGAGCACAGTGCACACTATAATTTTACATACACTTCAAACCATAGTACAGTACTTACTGTACAAAACTACCAGAGCTAACTAGGTGAAAATTCCCAAATATGCTTCTCAGTTCTGATGCTGCATGATCCACTTCGTTGTATGCCATTGCTCATCTTAGGATGTTCAACTGGTCTCTGCGTAGACTCAGGGAACCTTGTTGCCAACCCACCACAACTATTTGTCTCAATAATTTCTCTTCTGTTCTTTGTTCTAAGGACCAGTTACCATGGTTCAAGTCATACACTATGATACAACTGGTGGGGTGATGGGAAACCAGCATGCATAGAGAAGGCATGCAACCAGCAAGCGAACCATGGGAGAGACGGTTCTATCCTGCCCCGCTTGTTGCAGGTACCAAGTCACTTTCGCATCCGATTCGATTGCAACAATGGAAGAAACATAATTTGCAGCACATCTACTGGAAATAAACTGCCTCTGGAAGATGGAATACAAGTACTTAATTTATCATGATCATCCCTGCGGTAAGCATTGACTACGCTGACATTAGCACTCCACAGGACCTACACGTAAATGGGGATGTGTTGCGGATACCCTCACCACCCTGCAAATAAGTACAAAACTACTTACTATACAGTACAGTACACGTGGGAGACGCCTGCGGCTGTGCACCCATGCGAATATAGTACGAGTAACAAGGGCCACTACGGTGTACAGTACATAGTAGTATAGATGTTCCCGTACATCTATCTAGGTTACCGAGCAGTTGGAGAAATCAGTAGATACTACGGAGACATGAGTAGATTACTCCGTAGGTCAACCCCACTTATACAGCACCTCTTGATCAATGGCTGCAAATAACTATTTGTCATAGTAACGATAGCGGCAAGGCAGCACATCAAGATATATTCACCGCAACCGATGTTCAGGAGTACAGGAGATACACTTATACAAAAATACTTTGAGGGGTACAAAACATATGTGTGTGATTCAACTACAGCACATCCCAGCGCGTGTGTAGTTGATGGAGGATAGCAGTAAAGTGGCCACTCTAATGCTTGTCTTTTGCATGCGCATGAAGTGGCGAGAGCCAGTGGGAAAAGCAGGGACCCAGGGGCAACTGCCATTTAGCTCTCAGGGGTTTCACACGGTCACACACCGCCGTCTACGGTCTATGACGATCCCGCCTTAGACTACCTTTAGTACTGAGTTGACGCCGGGCTGAAACATCAGCCCCGCCATCTTACTAAGGGTGCTCCAACGGCTGCTTTCAGTAGGCATCATCCCACGTGACACAAAGCCCTCTCGGTTTCCGACTACCGGCACACATCCCTGCCAAAGGGTTTTCCTCTGTCAAGTCTCCGGAAAGTTCACTTGTCTGCACCGAGGATCGCATGCACTGGAATCTTGTCTTCCTGTGTTCACATATTCCCAAGCCACCAGACGTCCAGGTGGCGTCTCAAGTTTCCCCTTACGGCTGTTTCATTTGATTTCCGCTGTGGCGGGCATGATAGTTACGGCATCAAGTCCTGTCCACACCCTGAAGAAGCTTTTATTGCCCCTCAGTTGATTTGATCGAGGGTATTGCAATTGGCCTGATCTCATAGACTAACTATCACTTCAACTCTAGAAGGGTGTCTTTGTCAGGCTCCGGTTGCTGTATCTCCCGTTTCTCACACATGTCCTTGGTTTCAGATCCGGGGAAGGCCGTTGGCCATCCGCCAAACCAGCAACTTTGCGTTCAGAAACACGTGGAATACGTCAAAAAACTGGATAGCGTGCGTTGTTCTTATTCTGACCATAGCTCCCCACACGGTAGGGAAGGCGGTTGACAGATGATGCTAGAGGAGGGATGAGCTGGAATATTGGCTCACTGAGCACCTTCGCCTCAATGGGGTTTATTGGGGTTTGACAGCCCTACATCTCATGGGATCTCCAGAGGCATTGCCTCGTCAAGAGACCATTGATTTCGTCCTCTCATGCCAACGAGACAATGGAGGATTTGGAGCTGCTCCAGGCCATGATGCACACATGCTGTACACAGTGTCAGCCGTGCAGCTTCTCGTCACACTAGATGCCGTGGACGAATTAGAGAAGCGTGGCCTAGGAGGCAAAGAGAAAATTGGCTCTTGTACGATGACTTCACCTGAGTCTGCATCTACAAAGTCTTACTAAACATGCGCAGTCATTGCAGGATTACAGGATCAGGAATCTGGTGCATTCCAGGGAGATGAGTGGGGCGAACAAGACACCCGTTTTCTGTACGGTGCATTTAATGCTTTGTCGCTTCTGGGTCTTCTACACTTGGTCGACGTCTCCAAAGCGGTGGAGTACGTCAAAAAGTGTGAGAACCTGGACGGTGGCTATGGTATACGACCAGGAACCGAGACCCATGCTGGCCAAGTTTTCACTTGTGTTGGCGCTCTAGCGATTGCCGGGCGATTAGACCTGGTGAACAGGGACCGCTTGGGCGGCTGGCTGAGCGAGAGACAGGTGGATAATGGAGGTCTCAATGGGCGTCCTGAAAAGCTGCCAGATGCTTGCTATAGCTGGTGGGTTGGTGCTAGTCTGGCAATGATAGACAGGCTACATTGGATCGACGGTAGCAAGCTTGCTGCTTTCATATTGCGCTGTCAGGTAATATCCCCTTCTATGTCGCGCTGGGTATTGACTAATCCGCCATAGGACTCGGACGCTGGAGGTATCGGTGATAGACCCGGTAGTATGGTCGATGTCTTCCATACTTGTTTCGGTGTCGCTGGCCTGAGCCTTCTTAAATACGATGGTCTGCAGGAAGTAGATCCAGTCTAGTAAGTAACTCTTTGAGACAGGTCCCTTTTTCTATAGGGAGACCATGCTGACGGGTTGTCCAGTTGTATGCCAAAGAGTATAACGACGAGATGCCTTGCTTCGTAATTAGCTCCCCTTATTTGTGACATACTGGCTTCATCCACCAATACGTTTCGTAGTACTACCTCCTGCAATCTAATAACCCATTTTCCTTTCCTCGGTGGATAATGGGATACAAGGCAGGAGAAGAAAGATAGGCACTGCGACTTATTTCCGCTTCACCCCTCTACAATGGCCTGTTAAGCGGCCGTTAAGACGCAGTGGCACATGTTTATCCGAGTCACAAAGTACAAGTACCGGAGCTATATTGATAGTCAATCTACTAGGATGTGTCATTTAATGCATTTCGATGTCCCTGCGTCAACGATATGCCTCTATGCCCCATTCCGGTCTCAGAGGTGTTGGTCTTTGCTCCTAGTAAACCTCCTTAGCAGCTATAGCGGCCTTCTACGGTGACTGACTACCTTACCAGTACTAACCACTCTCTCTGACCGTGGTGGTTAGTTCCTTCTTCAATTGTCGTCGGGCTAAGATGACAATTACAACAATGGTAGGCACGAATGTCATCGCAGGGAAGGAAAGACTCCAAGTGTGCCTGTGCTATCTGATGTCCTCACGTCGGTGGTCTTGACCTTCCCACACTATTCTGCCAGGTCCAGTCTTTCTATATTGGTCTCTATTCTAAGCACATTGATCGGTTCCTATCCATGCAAGCACCACTCTGGATTTAACCCTTTGTTGCTTCCCTTGATAGCTTTGTTCAAGTTCGAATTCTTATCCTTCCAGATCTCTTTACCATGGATGCAGCTGCACTTTTATGCAACATCTGCCCCAAACGTCCCACGTTCAGCGATGTATCTCACTTGCTAACCCATGTCGCATCGAAAGCCCATCTCTCTCATTATTTCAAACTTCAGGTACGCAGTCATCAGGAACAACAAGCAGTTGATCTACTGGACGAATATGACCGGTGGTATAAGACCAACAATCTCGGGAGATTGCTTTCAGATCGAATGTCCTCAAAGGAAGCTCGAAAGAAGAAGACATCGACGAAGCCTACGACCCACGCAGAGGTCAAGGTCGAGAAGACAGACGCCCCCATATCTGTTCTTCCCTTGATACATCACCCTTTTCCTGACTATCTAGACCCTCGCCTTGCTGATACCTACATTGAACGACCGTTGGAACTCTCACACGCTGGATCATCCTCGGTGTCCTGTGTTACACGAACAGACCCTTCCGCCCAGGCGTGTCAGTCCTACCCTCACGCAATGCACGAAAATGACTCTAGAGGTTCTGAATGTGAGCTTTGGAAACGCGAACCCAGAGATGCGATTGCGTACGACGATGGCTTTTCTGTTATGCCGTACTGGGCAAGCCCAAGAGAAGACAGAATGGCGACCGGCACAAACACAATTGATCGCGGATACAGTAGCGACCCCTTCCTGGATGAAGGTGATAGCATTGACTGCCCTGTGTCCGGCCTACTGGACAAAGAGAGAGCGGATGAGATGGCTAGACTCAAGGGCATCCTGTGGCCCGGTATGGACATCTTCGACTCTGCCACAGAACAAATGAGGCGTCGTCGTAACCAAAAGAAGGATGAGAGTATTCTGAGGATGATGGAGAAGACCTCCCTGTGCGTCGAGCCGACAGAACTTGTCTTCTCTCCAACAGGAATCCTCCGAAAGCAACGGGTAATCTCTGGCAATGTTGAGGACAGTAGCCCGCTCAAGGGTGAAACTCCAATACCCAAAAGACGAGTCAGCCGCTCCAAGAGGGTTCTCTCGCAACTTGACGCTAACATTAATCGTCGGCAACATGGACCGAACAAGAAAAGAAACAAGAAGATCGAAAGGCAGAGTGTCGAGTGTATGGCTGAGCATTCGACCCAGAGTGCTGCTCAATCGCGCCAGGGTCAAGTTTCGGTTTACCGGAGGAGCTGCGCAGACGATCAAGCCAAATCTGTCCCTAAGAGAAGGAGCGGACTCAAGGATCGCAACGAGTTCGCAGTGTACCGTGACGAGGAAGGACAGCACCGGCGAAGCTCGTGGACCCAACATACCAATGGTGGATTGTCATATGCAGCATCTGCCGTTGCCCACCCCATTCTCCTACTACGCGAATACACAGCCCGTATTGACGAGTGTGCGTCCCACTCCGCTACTCATCTATCCGCATTCACAGAACGGACCCCTGATGAGTCCATGGATAAGGAGAACATCGAACCTCTCTTCAATGCCTGCGGCCGCATTGATCCTGGAGTGGACTGGCGTTCCCCTGCCATGAAGCAACATCTAGCAAATGATATAGGTTACCCGCCACAGATCTTCTATCAGAATGCCCAATCTGCCGGTTTGAGTCCATTTAGAGGTCATGATAGTCCCGCAGGATATCACTACAATCCTCTATCGGTCTCGCTGGGCAGACTACCTGTCGAAGAGACTCAATTGAGTACCCTGAACTCACAGGCGGGGGCTAATTATAAGGCACGCGCTGAGTCTCCCGAAGGCACAGTCTCAGATGCCGAGGAAGGGGAATTCGACCGGCTCTACCTGCCTGGGAGCTCTTGTTGAAATTCCACTTTTGTCATTGCTGCCGGCCCCGACTGCATCCTCAACATGTTGTCGCCGGCTTACTCTCAATGTCGCCGGCACCCAAGAACACTCCAACGGTAGAGGACAGGACGAATCTCTGCTATGGGCACATAGCCCAATGCTTTGTACGCGAAGTTCTTATAATCATGCATTACCTATATGTCAGTAGAGACAATAGGTCGCTGCCTGGAGGCTGATGTTTGACGTCTTTCATTACTGCATTGACTGTTCAGGTATCGCATCGCAGACGTATACTGCTATAGTATTAGATATCCATAAACAGAAGTATACTCGAAGACCTACAGGCTATGTAGCTCCGAATCATTAGAGAAATCCCCACTGCGTGCACCGTCCAGTGCTCGTGGTGGATTACATAAGCCAGAAATATGGGCAATCTTCAACCCGGAGACACGAAAGCGCGTCGACCCGCGTCGAGCTCACAGGTTCTGAAGCGGCACTAGCTTCGCCGAAGTGGACTTTTAGTGGCGCTGTTAATACAATACAGTACCCGCATGTGATGATGAATCTCAACTGTGACAAGGAGGCTCATCCAAATCCCATACTGCAAAAGGCTGTCAGGTTGTCACAGTTTTTGATTGCGCCGATTTGACTTCATTGCCACTTCGTTGAAACCGATGGTATACAACGGTTCCTTATCTACCTCCGCTTGAGCTTGTCCAAGCTCTTCAGCAAAACACACAAAGGCTACACCCCATTGACAGACTCTTGAATAACACAGCAAAAGATGCCTTTACCTTCCTCATCACCTTCCTCTTCCCAGAATACGAAGCGCAAGCAATCGACACTCGCCAGCTTCTTCACCAAGAAGTCACAGCCCCTCCAACCTGGGTCGGTCAACGGCGTCGATAGACAGACGAAGCTCGCGGAAACTGGCTCAGAGGAAACGACAGCCCCCGAAAAACAGCGGAATCAGCAGGATGATTTGACACGGGACAAGAAAAAGGAAGACGAAGACGACGATGACATAGTCGCACCGGCTCCAAAACGAAGCAAATTGAACGGCTCCCGCTCCCAGGAAAACGGTTCGAGGACAGGCTCCTCCGCTACTGAAAAACATATACCATTGTCGCAGAGCAGCCAGCGGACGGATCTTTCTAGATTCGCTAGCTCACCCGCCGCTGGACCTGGGACCCAGAGACACCAGGAACCGGAGCCCACCGAAGCGAAACAGAGGCGAAGGGAATTGGAGGATGTGCATCAGAAATTTGTGCGCAGGCTGGGCGGCGCAGATTGCTTGATAGGCATCAACAGGCACGCTACTGGTGCAACTGATGTCGTGTCTATTGAGGACGCCGCTGAAGGGGAAGAAGACGAGGATCTGGCGCCCGCTCCTCCTCCTCCTAAGGGCAAATCTGCTGGCAAGAAGGGGACCAGTAAGCTTACGCCGATGGAGAGACAAGTCATTGACATCAAATGCAAACATAAAGATGCGGTTTTGGTTGTGGAGGTCGGCTACAAGTTCCGGTTCTTTGGTGAGGATGCAAGGGTCGCAGCCAAGGAGTTGTCGATTGTCTGTATCCCAGGAAAGCTGCGCTTCGATGAACGTGAGTGTACCAAATCCCTCGCGACTGCAGACACCGCTAATGCCTGAGCTCTTTGCCTTCTAGATCCTTCAGAGGCACACCTCGATCGATTTGCATCTGCCAGCATACCGGTCCATCGACTACATGTGCATGTAAAACGCTTGATTGCTGCCGGCCACAAGGTTGGCATCGTAAGACAGATCGAAACGGCTGCTCTGAAAGCAGCGGGCGACAACCGGAACGCACCATTTGAACGCAAACTCACAAGCTTGTACACGAAAGGTACATATATCGACGATGTTGACGGCTTGGAAGGGCCTGCAGCATCTGGCGGCGTGTCTCCAGCAACAGGATACTTGCTTTGCATCACTGAGACGAATGGGAAAGGATGGGGCAATGACGAGAAGGTCCAGGTCGGCATTGTCGCTGTGCAGCCTGCCACAGGGGACATAATCTATGATGATTTCGAAGATGGTTTTATGAGGACCGAGATTGAAACCAGGTTACTTCATATTGCACCTTGCGAAGTGTTGATTGTGGGAGAACTTTCCAGAGCTACGGAGAAGCTGGTTAAGCATCTCTCGGGCAGCAAATTGAATGTATTCGGTGATAAGACTCGTGTGGAGCGCGCTCCCAAGTCGAAAACTGCCGCCGCCGAGTCTCACAGTCATGTTTCGAGTTTTTATGCTGGAAAGATGAAGGCAGCCAGTGCTGAAGACGATGCGCAGGCGAGTAGCCTTCTTCAAAAGGTGGTGAATTTACCTGAGCAGACAACCATCTGCCTTTCCGCCATGATAACGCATTTGCAAGAGTATGGCTTGGAGTATGTTTTCCAGTTGACCAAATATTTCCAGCATTTCTCTTCGCGATCACATATGCTTCTTAATGGGAATACCCTTATGAGTCTTGAGATTTACCAAAACCAGACCGATCACACTACCAAAGGCAGTCTCTTCTGGACTCTTGATCGCACACAGACTCGGTTTGGGCAAAGACTGCTTCGGAAGTGGGTCGGACGCCCTTTGCTGGATAAGACGGCTCTTGAAGCGAGGGTCAATGCCGTTGAAGAGTTGCAAAGCCCGGAAAAAACTATCATGGTCGAGCAACTAAAAACTTTGTTTGCTAAGATCAAGACTGATCTGGAGAAGAGCCTCATTAGGATTTACTATGGGAAGGTGAGTTTTCTTCTCGTGTCCAGGCAACATAGTGTTTGTGTATAGATGCTAAGATCTTGATCGCAGTGCACCAGGCCCGAGCTCCTTACTGTGCTCCAAACCATGCAAATGATTGCGCAGGAGTTCGCAGATATCAAGAGCGCTGCGGATGCTGGATTTGAGTCTCCTGAAATAGGCGAAGCTATAGCCTCTCTCCCCACAATCCTGAATGATGTTGTGTCTTTTTTGGATAAGATCAATATGCACGCCGCAAGGAATGATGACAAGTATGCCTTCTTCCGAGAAGCCGAAGAAACCGAAGACATCAGTGACCACAAGCTGGGGATTGCAAGCGTTGAGCATGACCTACAGGAACACCGCAACGTTGCCGGTGAAAAGCTCGGGAAAAAATCAGTGGAGTATAAGTCCGTTGCGGGCATTGACTATCTAATCGAAGTTGATAATAGCTCGCCATTCATCAAAAAAGTACCAGCGTCCTGGGCGAAGATCAGCGGTACTAAAAAAGTGTCGAGATTCCACACGCCCGAGGTTATTCAGCTCATCCGACAACGAGACCAGCACAAAGAGGCGCTGGCTGCGGCTTGCGATAGAGCCTTTCGTGCCCTTCTTGCTGACATAGCCGCTAAATATCAAGCTTTCCGTGATTGTGTACAAGCATTAGCCACACTGGACTGCTTGATATCCTTAGCTACTATCGCGGGTCAGCCTGGATATGTGAAGCCTCAATATACGGATAGCACATGCATCAGTGTCGAGCAAGGCCGCCATCCTATGGTTGAGCAATTGCTGCTGGACAGCTACGTGCCAAATGACATTAATCTGGAGAGTGACAAGACCCGCGCACTTCTAGTCACTGGTCCCAACATGGGCGGTAAGTCTAGCTATGTGCGACAAGTCGCCCTTATCGCCATCATGGGCCAGATTGGCTCCTATGTGCCTGCGCAGTCCGCAACGCTCGGCATGTTAGACGCTGTGTTCACCCGCATGGGCGCGTTTGACAATATGCTGGCAGGAGAGTCCACCTTCATGGTTGAGCTCTCTGAAACAGCGGATATACTCAAGCAGGCAACGCCACGCTCGCTCGTCATACTGGATGAGCTAGGCCGGGGCACTTCCACCCATGACGGTGTCGCAATTGCCCAAGCGGTCCTGGACTATATGGTTCGTTCTATCAAAAGCCTCACCCTGTTCATCACACACTACCAGCACCTCTCATCACTGGTACACTCGTTTCCCGACAATGAACTACGAAACGTGCACATGCACTTCACCGAATCGGGGACCGGTCAGGATGAAGAGATCACATTCCTGTATGAGGTGCGCGAAGGAGTGGCGCATCGCAGTTATGGACTCAACGTGGCGCGATTGGCAAACCTTCCAGGTCCGCTCCTACAGCAAGCGCGCCAGAAGAGTAAAGAGCTCGAGGAGAGAATCCGTCGCCGGAGATTGGCAGGCCTTGTTTCGGCAATTGGAAAGGCTGTAGGGGATTCTACGAGCGGGGACGATGACGGATTGATGGATCGACTTATCAGCAGCGCAGAGCAGCTGTAGATGTTCTTCAACTCGCAACGCAACAATGCTTTGGATGTTTGCATATCACGTTCGATGCAAGGTACCTGAAAATAAAGGCATGATGGCCACTATGTATAGACCTGACAATACTCCATATTATGTCATTACGGTACCTTATCAAGTCCCCTGCTTCGCAGCGAATTTACAGGTTGCTTTCCGGAAGTTGCACATCCATATAGCCAGCCACCTGAGATAGGTCTACTAGACAAGCAAGCGTGTAGCAATTCTATGAGATTGCGCCCAAGCCTATCTTGACTATGCAGCTTTACCAATCCCTGCAGTCCTTTTCGCGCGAGCCGAGAGTGAACAGGTGGTGAAATGAACAACCCTCAAACAAGCGTGATCCCAGGATACAGCGAAAACCGTAGTGTATCAAAACTTGATCCATTTCTGCTCCAGATCGTGGGCCGCCAGATATCGATCGTCCCTGGTATCTATCTCAAAGGTCCGGTGGATTTCAAATTTTTTTCCTTTTTGTATTTCAGGTTGATCTCGGTCTCGTTTGTTTCTTCTATGGAACCCTGGTATATCGGAACACAGAATCGTAACAAACGCAAATCATCACAACCCGGATGCCGCATCAGCCCATAAGATGTTTTTTATTGCCTTCCCGACCCCCAGAATCATTTCCAACACAAGCAAGGGTACATAGCCTCGAGAGGGAAGATAAGAAAATTCGGAGAGTTGAGGAGATTTAACGGAGACGGCGGGCCTCGCGCTCGGACTCGAGCAGGCAGAGGATGTCGTCGACACGGACTGTAGTTTGCGGAAAAAAAGAAACTGTGTTAGCCTTCCCATATGCGACGCGAAACGATAGTCGGATAGACTCTGGCGAAGACCCGAAATTTCCTTCCTGCCGTTCTTCGAGTATATCCCAAAAACTTGTCCCGAGTAAACCCCTGCGTTGAATTTCCACCTCATTGTCGAACAACCTTCCCGTCTTCGTTGGTTGACTTCCGATCGCGTTCCTCAGCTCAATTCCAAGCTCTTTCTTTTTGGGATATCTCTTTGTCGGTGGGTCGGAAATTTCGGACCATGCCGAGCGCAATCGAACAACGAAAAAAGAAGAACTGATCAGACGGAGAATCGCATACCAGGGCCCTTGACGTTACGGATGATGCTGCGGGAGGTATCGTCCATGAACTCGACACGGACCTGGGTGACACCACCACGGGAACCTATTGTGAAATCGAGCAGTCAGCATTGCCTGCACAGCGTTTTTTTCGGCAGCGCAACTGCCAACTGAAGCGGTTTATCGTCAACATACCGGTACGGCCGAGGACACGGGTGACCTTGACGAGCTTAGCAGGCTGCTTGGCGGAATCCATCTTGAGGTTGGGCGTGACGGCAGCAAAGGACTGACGGGATGGAGGTGAAGATGGCGAAGGGGGACCGGGTTGATAGAAGTTGAAGCCGCTCGGTGAAAATCGAACGGGATTGCGGGCTTGTGTGGGTTGCATTTCCTCTTTGGGAAAAAGACGAGGGCTCAGGGCTAGTGTTGCCTCGCCCTTCAGGCATGGATAGCTGGCCTGGTCCATCAGGCACAACAGGAGGGGCATGGTGCCTCAGGCAGCAATACATGCTCTCCTGGTCCCTGGTCGACACTCCTGGTCTGTCTTTTCTGCCGCAATAATCCAAGTCGCTGCCCGTCCCTCTGCTTTTCTTCCTCTTCCTTTCCCCTCACCACCACGCCAACTTCACTCTTGTCAGAGTATTTATTTTCTCTCGAAGTGTATCCGCTTGCTTCAGGGCTCTCTCGCGATCCCGTAACTTGACCAATTGTTTCTCCATCCGGTGTCCTATTCACCCTGTTACGCCTGAGTAATTTACCCCGCGCATCACCGATCGTCGACCGAAATGGATCTCGTCAACCAGTAAGTGTCAATTGGTCAACCAGCATGGTTCAAGCGCGAAATCCAAACAACAGAAGTACTGTTGGTCGCTAGAACTGTCGTCATGTTAACCGTTTTTTTTTTTAAAAAAAAACAGCCTCGAAGGAAGACTACTCTTCGCCGTCCCTAAGAGCAAGTGCCCGCCGTGACTCACCCGCTCCCCTCCGCCGCAAGAAGCCTCAACACCTCCCATGAGACCCGAGCGTTGGCTTGTTGCACCTGTACAAGAAAATCCAAGCTAATACTGTTCTTGTCTTCACAGAGGGTCGTCTTCAACAAGCTACCTTGGACCTCCTGGCCGGTGCCGACATCCAATTCCGCCGCGAAACCCGCTTGGATATCGCCTTGGTGAAGAACTTGCCGATCGCGCTCATCTTCCTTCCTGCCGCTGATATCCCGACTTTCGTGGGCGAAGGGCGCGTGGACCTCGGTATCACCGGTCGCGACCAGGTTGCCGAGCACGATGCCCAGCTTCCCGGTGGTGAGGTTTCCGGCGTGGAGGAGGTTATGGACCTTGGCTTTGGCGCCTGCAAGTTGCAGGTTCAGGTCCCTGAGAAGGGCGACATCACGGAAGCCCGCCAGCTGGTTGGCCGTAACGTCGTGACCAGTTTCACTGCCCTCACCGAGGCCTTCTTTACCAAGCTCGAGGCCGAGGTTGAAGGCAGCCCGAAGACCAAGATCAAGTATGTCGGTGGCAGTGTTGAGGCTGCCTGCGCTCTGGGTGTGGCCGATGGCATCGTCGATCTGGTTGGTACGTGCAGGCTAGTATCACCTTGCTTGGAGGATGCAATAGCTGATCCGTGTTTCTGTACAGAATCCGGTGAGACCATGAAGGCTGCTGGCCTCAAGGCCATTGACACCGTTGTTGAGACCCTCTCTGTGCTGGTCAAGTCCCGGAAAACTCAGAATCCTCTGGTTGACCTGATCGCTTCCCGCATTCGCGGTGTTATCAGTATGTCTTTTTCCTTGACTCTGGTGGATTAACTACTAACGGCTTTCTACCTCACAGCCGCCCAGAAGTACGTCCTGTGCCAGTACAACATCCCCCGCGCGGAATTGTCGACCGCCTCCAGCATCACTCCAGGCAAGCGTGCCCCCACGGTGACTGCTTTGGATCAGGATGGCTGGGTGGCCGTCAGCGCAATGGTTGAAAAGAAGAAGATTGCTACCGTCATGGATGAGTTGATCAAGGTTGGCGCCACGGACATTCTCGTCCTGAACATTGCCAACTCGAGAGCTGCGTAAAGTGCTATGTCAATAAGTTTAGGGCAGCGTTTGTTTTCATTATTGGTTGTGAACGTTCATGATGATCTTTTTTGCATTGGGCGTGATAACTTTATTTCTTGATTTTACTTTCTCTTATGTGATTACCCAGCATTTTGTTCAAAATAGAAGGATTGGGTTCAACATGTGTAGTGGTTGGTTAGAGACATAGGCTAGACACCTATTGAGCTCATGATGATAGCATAGACTTTGACTGGGTGGTAGATGTTCTATAATGGTGGCTTCAACCAAGTCGATTTCAAACCTCATAAGTTTCTATGATATATAGTTGCGCATCTAGTCACATTTACCTACGGAAACCACTCGGAGCGTATCACCATTGTCCGACCTTCACCCTGGTCCTCTCCACCGTTCCACATAAATGACAGTTGTCTTGTAATTAGAACGTGTTCTATAAACATAGTACTTTCCCCACCTCACTCCTAGGGAGTGGAAAGAGGCCTGTTTTTGAGGTGTCAAGGATTCGTTGCCTGAAATTATGGGCATAAAATCATGTGCCATCCGGACGGCAAGTCATAATACCCCAGCGGAGTTTAAATTAACTCCACTTACCAGAATTGAGATACCATTCTATCACTTCATGTTGTCAACTGTGCCATAAGATCACTTCTTTATTGTATTGATGTTTCATACATTTGACCTGAGCCTCAAGCATGGGGCTGAAGGGGAAAGTGAACTATCACCGGGTCGCAATGATCGCGTTCGCAAAGCATGTGAGCTCTGTCGACAGATGAAGGTCAAATGCGACGGAACCCATCCTTGCAAGCATTGCTCTCATTCTTTTCATGGTAGGAGCTCTTCAAGTCTGGAGGACTGTTACTAAAGCATAATCATCCGTTGCAAAATAACCTATGTATAACATACTAATAACCAAAGAGTGCATCTATCGCGATACACATCGGAAAAGACACGCCGACTCGGACCACAGAACTTCCGCCAGGCCAGGCAAAAAACCGAGTTTGCAGAAGAGATCGAATCATATCGATGATTTCGATGCAGATGCGTTGCAGATTGCTGCATGTCAGCCAGACACGCCGGGAATCACGCATGAAGGTGATAGAGAAGAGGATCGGCTGGAAGCACGACACCATGGGTCTTCCGGAGAACGGTCTTTTATAGAACGACTGAAGCTAGAACTCGGAGACTCCCCAGGCATCGACTTTGAGAGCAGATTGCGCGTGAAAGAGCGACTGGCTTCTAGGCTGTTCCTGCTAGGAGCTCCAAATTGCTTATCGAGGACTTCTGCGCCTCTCCCAGAGCGTCAAAGGGCACAGATACTAGTCAACCAGGCTTTGGATGCGCACTTACTCTACCATGCTCTGCATCGTCCCACCTTCACTTCTGTCTTTCAATTGTTGTACTCTCTCGATAGAGAAGACTACGGAGAGACAGAGATCAGCCACCTTCCTCTCCTCTACTCTCTGATGGCGGTAGGCTGCCTATTTGAGAAACACAACGAACATAATCCCGCGGAGCCATCAGGAGGCTCGCTTGCTGAAGGGTGTGTTGCCTCCCACGGAAACAGATCTACTGACCACATATTGACAATACTAGATTGAAGTATTTTGAAACCTGCCGCGATATGGTTGATCTCGAAGCTTGTGATAATCTTTTTGCCTTGCAGGCCATTTTCTTCATGAATATCTTTCTCATCAGTACCTGCAGATTATCCCGGTGCTATACCTATGTTTCTCACATGCTTTCCCTGGCTTTTCGCATGGGCCTGCACCGTCCCGGTAAGGCGGATAGTCCGGTCATTGTCGAGACCAAAAGATCTCTTTTCTGGGCTATATGGCAACTTTTGGTCACTTTAGCTTCCATGTGCGGCCTCCCAAAGCCAGTACCTGTTGAGGAGATAGGGATGGATTATCCCGAGGCCATCAGTGCTCAGCCAGATCAAGAAAGGACAGGACCTGAAGAGAGAGTTCAGGTACCAGAAACAATACCGAGTCATCTGAGTTACCTGAAACTCCATGAAACCCTTTACAGAGTTGTGAAGAGCCTGTATCCTCCAAGCACTATGCAGCATCGTGATGCGAACGATTTATTGAAGCACTTTGTCACCAAGGATACTATTTTCAAATTTGAGGACGAGCTACGGAGATGGGCCAAGCACCTTGCAATTCGTGACATCCTAGCAAAACATGAGAACAATCAATGGTCCCGAAGGTAAGGTGGATTGAAGGATTTTAAAACCATCAACTTTACGAAAACGCTCACAAGATACAGGGCGGATTACGAAATCTGTATGGCTTTCGCTCATACTCAAGTCTACTTATACCGACCGTTCATGCACTATCTTTTTGAAAGTCACAACGTACAGCAAGAAGGCCGAAAATATGCACTGGCTGGGATTCGTGCAAGCTGTAATATCATACGTCTCGCGCAGGATATGCACCGCCATGATCTTCTATTTGGATCGCAGTGGCGCGTGGCACATATGATCTCGACATCTGCCCTCACACTTCTCTACGTTCTTCTTATCGACAAGATCTCTACAATGGCGCCATATCTTAAGACCGAACTGAATATAGCGAGGTCTATGCTTGTTACTCTTCGGCCTTATTGTATCCACTCGCAACGTACGCACATCGCATTGACGGTATATTATGTTCTTTGGATGGATTTCTCCATTGAGGCTAACAAACTTGAGTAGGTGTTGACGACTGCACTCTCTCAAGGGTCAAAAATGCAAGAGCTGGCGACTGTAGGTGACCAAGCTAGTCTCGCGGGAGGATCAACCTATCTAGAAACACCTGATTTGGTGGCGAGGACATTTGCCAATCAGTCCAATCGAGAAGAAATATGCCAAGCAACTAATGAGAACCCAGCAATCGGTCAAGATCGTAGGTCTTTACGGTATCCATGGGAAGAAACTGTACAAAGCCAACCGCCTGCAGCCAATGCAGCTCCACAGCAGAAGAGCTTGCACGGTGGACGCTATGGAAACCCTTCCACCCCCGTTTCTGCGCAGTTCTTGCGCGAAGGGAATACTGCGATAACGCCAGGAATCACAGATGTCCCGCAAGGTTTCTTCACGGCGCAACCTGAGACGGCGCATCTCGAAGCGGGTATAAGCACAGCCGAGAGCGCAAACGTTATGGAGGCACGACCCTATGTGGACCAGCAAATTTATGAGCAATTTGACTACTATACGCAGTCGGCCGGCCACGAGGACATTAATTTCGACGGCGACGAGAACTTCTACCCTTTCAACTCCTATTTCTCAGGATTATAGTTCGAAAATTTAATCTGTCTTTACTTTTTATAATTGACGGCGTTCGTTACAAATTTTTATAGAGGTTATCCAGTCGGACCCAAAGGGCCCAAGGATAAGGGCAGAAAGACGCTAACCCAAACTTCGGATCTTATGCCCGTTACGGAAGTGCCTTCTATTGCCCATGCAAACCGATCATTGCCCTTTCGAGTCATGGATCGATGTTGTTTGCAGATAAAAAGAGCCATGGACCCAAACACACATCTTTAGAATTGATGGAGGGTGGGTGCCGTCTGGCAAGCAATCGTCTTTGTTTCACTGCTTCCACTGAAGTGGTGCTAGAAAAGACACGATATCGCACGCCATGAAAGAACAGGAGGAGAATGTGGTGGTGTCTCTCGAAGACAAGCGAGAAAACCAGGAATCAGATGCTGAGGTATTCTCAAGTCAGGCCAGAGAGGAGTATCCAGTGACCGACCTGAGCATAGGAGTTGTTGGGTGGGAAAGTCAGGAAGACCCTTCGAATCCGAGGTAGGTGATGGCTACATTTGTTTTGAACAGCGGTGCTGAGTGTGTGAGAGGAATTATCCAGCATCTCGAAAGTGGTTCCTGCTTGCTTTGATTAGCATGATCACACTAGTTAGGTACACCATCGCCTTACCGCATACTCCCAGACCTATAACTTACCCCCCGATAGCCCGTTCGCCTCTTCTGTCTTTGCCTCAGCTGCAGTGTTTGCTGGAGAAGAATTCGGGAATACATCCTCGATCGAACAGACCTTTTCTGTGACGGGCTACCTATTTGGCTATATCGTACGTGCTCTTGTACTATAAAGCTCATTTGGAAGTGCTGACCAGAATTTATAGGCCGGACCTCTTCTATTCTCTCCGTTGAGCGAGATGTTCGGCCGTACGATCGTTCTCAACATTGCAACAACCTGCTTTGTTCTGTTCCAAATTGGCTGCGCGCTTGCCCCATCCATTCGAGCATTGATCGGCTTCAGACTCTTGACGGGCATTGGTGGCTCAGCATGTCTTGCTACAGGCGGCGGGGTCGTTTCCGATCTGTTCGTTGCTGAAGAGCGAGGCCTTGCCATGTCGATTTATCAGGCCGGTCCATTGTTCGGACCTGTCCTCGGGCCCATCTGCGGGGGATTTATTGCCGAAGGAGCCGGATGGCGATGGGTAGGTCATTCGATACGCTCGTTTCTCATGCTGCATATGTGCGCGACATCTAAGAGCAGAGTATAGGTCTTCTGGGTTCTCGTCATTGCCGGTGGGGCGTTGACCTCCCTTGCCGTGATCTTCAATCGCGAGACAAACCCCACGGTTCTCATCCGCCGCAAGACCGCAAGGCTGCAAAAAACGCTCGGCCGATCCGATCTGCGGAGCTGTTTCGATGTGCAGGGCGACAAGCTAAAGTTGTCCCTATCTCGCAGGTTGTCCATGCCTCTTCAACTACTATTTCGGTCCCCAATCGTTTCAATGATTGCCGTCTATATCGCTGTCGTCTACGGCTGCCTTTATCTCCTCTTCACCACCATCACCGATGTCTTCGAGAGCACATACCACTGGCGTCTCGACATCAGCGGGTTGGCCAATCTCGGCATCGGGGTGGGCTTCCTTACCGGCCAGCTCGTCTTCGGCCTGCTGAGCGACCGCACGATCGCGCGGCACAAACGGCGCAACCACGGCATCTACGAGCCCGAGATGCGGTTGTCGCTGAGCATCTACTTTGCGATCTGCGTGCCTGTCTCCTTCTTCTGGTACGGCTGGTCCGTGGACGCGCAGACGCACTGGATCGTGCCGATCGTCGGGCTCTTTCCCTTCGGATTCGGGATCGTCGGCATCTTCGGCACGCTGCAGACGTACATCATCGACTCGTATCCGCGGTATGCGGCCTCTGGGACCGCGGCCGTGACGGTGACGCGCTCGTTGCTGGGCGCCTTGCTTCCCCTGGCGGGGTCGCCCATGTATGCGGCCTTAGGCTATGGGTGGGGGAACTCCTTGCTGGGGTTCGTTACGTTGGCTTTGCTTCCGTTGCCCATCGTCTTCGGGCGCGTTGGCAAGGGTCTCAGGCAGCGGTTCGCCGTGGATGTGTGATCGTGCGGCAAAGTCAGACCCGCTTGCGGTTTTCGAAATAGATAGCACGTTTGTTGGTAGTGAGTGCTAGCAGGGTAGCAGCTGTACCAGTTCAGCCTTCCGGAGAGTAGTTTGGAACTATAAAAGGGGGATGGGTGGGTGTCCTGAGTGAGAAAAGGACATGGGCCGCTATGGTTCTGTATACCTTACTTGAAAACCTGAGGATAGCCGGTTCGCACAACTACATGTCACAGAGTATGTCGCTGTCAGCGTAGTCCTGGGCTTCCTCCTATCATTTGTATTGTTCCTCACGATAAGCGATCCTATTTTCAAAGTACCCACACCTCAAACTATGATCTACAGCTTCGCAGCTTGAGTTGGGGATCCCCCGAGATTATATTATGTACATACCCAGTTATGACTATTTAGCACGTAAGCCTTGGAGCAAGACACAGGGAACTCTCAGAGATACTTTTACTAGTTCTAGACTGGAACTCTGACGGCTTGTTCGCGAAAAAGGGAAGTATGTAATATACATACCGACTAACTCTGATCTCGGGGGCTTCCCCCGATATTGAGGCTAGCGCCACGCTAACCCTAAATCCGGAATCCTCGATAAGCTCCAGGCTATGAAGTAGGAGAGACAGGTCATGTGCGACCAGCAATCAACAGCCAGCGGCCATTGAATAAGGCCCTGCTCCACAGACATGGCGTACCAGGTAGCAGAGTGGACAAAGACTGACACTGAGCTTCTATACTTGACGGATGTATGCAGCCGTAGGCCGGGGCGGATACAGCGGAGATGTTCTTCGATTACTATAGCTGCAAGCATGCATGCAGCCTAAGCGGCCTTGAGCGGAGGATCATGGCCTCCACCCCCCGCCAGGAAATCTATAAGATAGTACCAAGTACGGTACTCCAAGCATCTATCTCGGATAATTCCACCCCCCCACCCCCCCTAACTCAAAAAGGCTTATACGTCTGCCCCTCCGCCTCCTCCAACACCCGCACCGCCCTCCGATACCCCTCCATCCCCCTCAACCCCCTCACATACCCCCGCAACCGCGGAAACCGCTCCGGATCGATCGCCTGGATCTCCTCCGCAATCACCAACGGGTAACTCATGAGGATATCCGCTGGCGTGAACTGCGTCCCGGCGAGGTAGGAGGCAGCACCAGCACCAGCACCAGCACCAGCACCAGCACCACCAACCGCACCCGCTTCCCCAGCAATCCCCTCCAACAGCCCCTCCAAGAACCCAAAATGCGTCTCCAGATTCGGCCGCGTATACTCCTTATTCACGATGGCAGGGACGATGCCGAGCACGGGCTTGACAAAGAACGGGGCCGGGGCGTTTTTGACCACTACCAACCCATTCCCCCAAAATTGTCAGCAAATCCTCTCTCTACCCTCCTATCCCAGAAGTAGCGGTCCGCCCCCTGCAAGGAAAAAGGCGCAGAAAAGAAACGGCTCACCGTCCATCAGAATCCGCGTCACAACCACCGGCATCAGACTCCCCTCCGCATAATGCATCAGATACCGGTACCGTAGCCACGCCGCCGTCTCGCCGGCGGGTTGGTTCTCGCGGCCGGCGGTCCAGCGTGGTGGGAGGGTCAGCTGCCCGGGGATGTGCTCCGCACGTGGCGGGAGAAAATGATCGACCAGATACTCAATGATGGCGGCGGATTCGGCGAGGATGAGCGGGGATGATGGTTGTTGCTGGGCTGATGGTGCGATGCTGAGCACGGGGGCTTTGCCGAGCGGGTGGAGGTGTTTCAGGGCGGCTGGGGCGCGCTGCGTGGCGTCACGCTTGTAGGGCTGGATCTCGTAGGTCAGGCGCAGTTCTTCGAGGAGCCAGAGGATGCGGTGCGAGCGGGAGCGTTCGAGGCTTTTGGTTTCCCGAATTCTGGGGATTAGGGAGGTTTGTTGGGGGGTGGGGAATGCGGGGAGGAACTTGACTTACGAGTGGAGGATGATTTTGGCGCCGCGGTTGGGGGACATTTTGTTTGGAAGGTGAGGGTTGTGGTGGTTGGTTAATGGTTCAGATGCAAGGGAGTTGAGTTGGAGTGAGGGAGGAAGAGGGGAACGGGGTTGTCGTTTATAGTTATAGTGTTTCCAACAAGTAAGCTCACCTTGGGCTAGACTGGATTCGTTCTGTCGGAGATCCTTTCGGGGGGAGCTGCTACGAAGTACCGGACTGTACATACATCGTACCATGCGCGGCAGGATCTGGTCAGCGCTAACCACGTGGCTTCCAGCTTTGTCCTCGGTCTTGAACAGTTCCAGGTTTGATGCTATTAAATCCATCGGTGAACACAAAGACCAGGAGCTGATTGTGTAGTGTATACAGTATATGGTTCAGGTATACGTGTAGATATGTACAGTACAGACACAATATCATGGTACAGAGAGGAGTTTCCAGGCCAAGCGTGCACTGGTCAAGTCGCGGACAGGGCCAAACATCCGCGTATATCACTTTTCATTATGTCATCCATCATAGTCATAAACAATAAACAGTAAGAGGGTATCGAGTCTAAGGTGCTCCCAGTAAGCAGTATGGGCGTCTAATGAAGGGGCGAGGGTATAGGCAAAAGGCAACAATCAAGACGAAGACGCAGGGGACTGCCCCAATCCCACTCCTTCTCGGCGACCGCGGATCAAAGCCTGCAGACATTGGCCCACACCTTCCAGATCTCCCAACAGACCGACATGGCCTCGTTCGCTTTTGACCAACCCCCCCTTGATGACACGGTATCCGGAGGGGAGCATTGCCGCCGACGCCAGGCACACTCCGTCTCCCGCCGCGAAGGCCAGGTCGTCGTACGCATCTTGCCGTTTGATGGCCTCCCGAGAGGCGACGCGCGCGCCGTATAGCGTAGGCACGGACTTCCCGTATAGCACGGTGAACGGCGGATACCGGTTGTTCGCTTGATGCGCGGCATCAAAGACCAACTCTTCCTTGAAGCGTCGCACTTCGGCGAGAGTGCGCTCGAGGTAGGTAATAGCGGTGGCCCGCGGGATGGTCACGGCTGTGGTGACCTTGGTGTTGCTCGAACCGCGGAGGTTGGAGTTGGGGCCAATGGCCCCTTCGACGGCGGGAGGCGCCACGGGGGCGGGCTTCATCGCCGCGGCGGTCGGTGGGTTGGCACTCTGGTTAGGTGCTGGCTTGTAAGAATTGGATGCTTCGCCGCCGTCAGATGAGGAACCTGATCCACTGCTCGGGAGGCTTTCTTTGCTGTTGAGCACGGTCGACAGGCGTTTGCTGATAAGAGGGAGGTTGTCCTTCACGAAGCCCCGGCTGGGGCTACTCACCGGCAGGGCCGGGTTGATGCACGGTGATAGTCGATACTCATCCCAGGTTTGCGCGTCGAAGAAGTCGACCCGGTATTCTTCTTTGGTGCGCTGGTCGATGAAGCAGTGCCCGTCTTCGGGCAGCAGGGCAAAGCTGGTGCGGAAGGTGAAATTGACCTGAGCCGTCAAGACACGCGAGCTCAGCAGCACATCGTCGCCGTTGCGCAACGGCCCGAGGATGTTGACGCAGTGCTGCGGAACCCCAGCGTATAAGACCCCAGCGAACAACTCGGGTCGCTGGTTGACGGCATGTCTTGTGATCAGCCCCCCCAGGCTGTGGGCGACCACGTAGGCCCCGCGCTTATCAGGGGGCGTGCCCGGAGCATTGCTTGGAAGGCCCTCCAGAAACTTGATCAACCGTTTGGCCAGAAGATGCGGACTCAGACGCCAGTCGTAGCCGTAGTCCCAGACGCGCAAATCCCCGCGCGTCGAGTTGGGGCACTTCTGCAGCCGCTTCATCAGGCGGCGACAGATGTCCACGGGCCCGACATGCGACAAGACTCCGGACGGAATGATGGTCTCCTCCATCCGTTCCTCGTCTTCCGGGTTCAGACCCACCTCAAGGTCGACTTTACGCAGATTCAAGCCGACCTTCATCGGCACCCACAATTGACGCTGCGGAGGTTTGGCAGAACGCAACACAGAGCCCCGATAGCCTCCAAGAATCACGACGTCACCCGTCAGATCATCCATAGCGTCAGCTAGGCGAGGGTGCTGGGCACTGGAGCTGGATCGCGGGGAACGGGTACGTGGTGGTGGTGGCAGCGACGAGGGTCCCGTCGGGTCAGCTGGCGGTTGTTCAAGCGGCGCCACAGGCTCCTCCTCGTGGACCTTTCGGGGATGCGAGACCTCGGAAAGGAAAGGCCGATAGCCCCAGTCGCTGCGGAGATCCTGCAGGTGCAAGGTGGGCATGCTTAACAGGCGGCTGCTGGAGTCCTGCAGACTGTCCTTGATGGCCTTGAAGCGGCTGTTCACCTGGGAATGGATATGCTCATAACGAGGCCGCTGCTCGAGCGAGGAGGCTGTGGAGGAACGCCGTAGATAGAGCGACTGATCAGAGGATGAGCGCCGCAGCATCGGCGGCGCTTTGCCCGACACAGCGGCACTCGGCCGCCGTGCATACGAATGGCGGGCGGCGGTGGCCCCCGCCAACGGCTCGAGATCGGAGATGGGCTCGTCCGCAGACTCGTCAGTCAAGGATCGTCTCTGCGCGGCTCCCGGACCGGGCTTGACGGTGCGTGGAGCTGGCTGGCTGGCGATGCGTTTCGTCCACGAGTCCGGTAGGAACTTCTTCAGACGGAGGTTGGTGATGGAGTCGCCGGACCAGGCCCGAGGGCGCAGCGGCAGACTGGTCTTGAGGAGGGAGCGCGTAAAGCTGCTCCGATGGTCTTTCAGCTTCTCCTTGGCACCGCGCGAGGGATGCGGTTGCGCAGGGGGTGGTTGCGAGGACTGGAGTTGCTCGGGTTCTTGGGTGAGATGGCTAGCAAAGAGACCACTGTCGGATTCGGGAGAGTCGGGAATGGCATCAAAGTATCCGCCATGCTGGTCCATCGCGCGGGATTTCTCAGCAGCTGGCGTGCGACGGGCCTTCATGCGACTCTGAGTTCGACTAATGCTAACCCCGACCATATCGTATGCTTCGTCCTCCCGGGTGGGGTCGCGAAGAGATGGGTCTTCGCTATCGGAGCTGGTATGACCACCAGCCGGTTGCATATGCACCGCCATAGTGATGTTGGATGCTATAAGGTTGTTGAAGGAAAGAATTCACCCATTGAGGGGCGGGCACCAATAGATAAGAAGGGAATTGGAGACGCAGCGACGCAATAGCTTGAACGGATCCAGGCAAGACAACAGAGGCTCCATGTGAAAGTGGATGATGATGGGGGGGGGGGCGGCGGGCGAGGAGGGAAAAGGTGAAGCTAAAGTAGAACTACGGAGCCGTCGGAGGTGGAGCCATCGCTAGTTTATTGATTAACGATAGAGGGATAGAATCAATAAGAAGCAGCAAGGAGAGGAACGGAGGAGTACAAGTAACTGAGATTGGAAGATAGGGGGGGCAAATCTGAATTGGAGGAGAAAATAACCTAGCAGATCGGAAGATGATGTAAAGTGAAGAAAAAAGAGAGAGAAGAGCAAAATAAGAACGAGTACGAGTAGCTGGAAAGAGAAAAAAAAAAAAAAAAAAAAGAAAGAAAGGCGAAAAGCGAGCGAGAGAGAAAGAAAAGAAAACGGTTCCACCGGCACAGCCCCGGGAGGGCCGGAAGGCTGAGAAACCACTCAGTTGACAGTGGATCAGGGCGAAGCTTTCTCCCCCCCGTCATCGGAAAGATCGTTTGGTAAGACGTCTTGGAGCACATGCTACGTATTAATAGCAATGCTAAGCTGGCGAAGGATTCAACACAGCCGAATTTGATGCTGTATAAGGGAAAGTTGACTCGGCGAAGCTACAAGCTGAAACAGACATGCTCGTGCGCCAAGGAACCATGGACATTCGGCTTCATTTGCATACCTAAACAGTGCACATACTGGATACAATTATACATATATAATACAAACAAAGTACTGTACATAGTTACTCATTACACCATCACAATCGACAATCGACAATCGTTGGCTACAAACAGGCAGCCATCTGGCTGGATCCACTCTGTCGACTAATCAGAGAAAACAATCAAACAACAAGCATCAGCATCAGTCGTATCATCGTAATCGCATAAAAATCCCGAACGAGAAGTCCCGAACTAGAGGCCAAGTTGTTTCAGTGCGAGCGCCCAAACTGCCCAGTCTCGATCTCTCGCTCGCCCTTGTCCGCAATGGCTGCGTTCTTAGCCGCACCCTGATCGTGGCCAAAGGCTGAGTCTACAGCTGCGGTGAGTCCACCGCGTAGCGATTCTCCGGCCCCCTGTGTTAATGGCCCCGTCAGCTTCTGCACAAGGACCGTACAAGGCTGCAACCAGTGATTATGGAGATTAGTGACTTACGTGGATCCCCGCCGCTACCGATTTAACCCCGCGCCCGACATTCTCGCCCGTGCGCGCCGACTGACCGCCAGCTGTTGTTGTGCCAGTAGTGCCAGTAGCAGGAACAGTGGTGGTAGTGTCAGCAGCGCCGGCGGTAGCGGTAGTACTAGGATTAGCACCGCCGGCCGCCCGCGTCCCCTGACTAGAGGAAGGCACCGTAGGCTGATAGCCTACTCCGCCTGCGGTGCCAGTGCCGGTGCCTGTCGTATCGGTCGGTTCGCGCATCGCACCTGAGCCCGACTGGTTTGTAGATTTGGTGGACATCTCCCCCGTGCGGCTGTTCACGCGAGGGTCCAGCTTATTCAACAGCGAGGAGCTGTGCGGGCCCCGCGTCGAGGTGCCCGACGTCGAGGTGGTTGCGGTCCCCGCGGTGGCCTGCGGGTGCACGTTGCCCGAGGTGGTCGTGCCGGGAGCGTACTGGGCGCGGTTGTTCAAATCGCTGTCGACGCGGGGATCGGCCTTGTTGGCCATGTCGGAGCCATGCGGTCCAGCAGTGGTCGGGGCCGGGCCGGTCCTGGCATCGCCTGTGCTGGTGATCCCAGCTTGGGTAGCAGTGCCGGTGGCCGCGGCGTTGGTATCGAAGTATGGGGTCTGCGAAGTAGTATTCATCGTGATTCTTTGTTTAACGAAAAAAAAAAAGGTTCTGCCTGGTTCAAGCTTAGGGAGTTCACTCCACCTGTCACTTTCGGGATGTTATATACCCATCATCGAAGGCAAAATGAGCGACATCGACATCATCGCGCGAGCCGGTGACGTCAAGTTGATCACAAAGTGTCGTCCCCTGGGGCAATTGTCCCCAAACCGTGGGGTGGGAGGGATGTGACCAGTCAGACAAAGGCCCTGTGCCGTGGCTTGGTGGATCGACAGTCCCTTCTTCATATGAGGGACACGATGAATCCAGGATTCCAAGAGTGCTTAACGTACAGTCCAGTCTGGTCTGGAAGTAGCAGCTGATCAGGTGATCTATGTTATCGATTAGAGGGATGATGATGTCATGTACGGCATGGCGGGAAGATAAGTTATGCCAGCCTATGCTGAATTAGTCATTTCTACTCGATTATGCACCGCGCTTCTCCACGACTGCAATTCCATTCTCTATACAAGCTAAAGCTCGTCTCCTCCTCGTATTAAGATACTGTCTTTCTTCAATATAGGGTCCAAATTCTCTTTGTTCCAAATCCTCAGCACTAATCCCCAGATGTCACCCCCCGCCTCGGCTGTGCGATCCTCTGGTCGGACATCTTACCTCAAAGAGCTTCTTCTCCACGAGCCGAGGTTCAATTCATTGGAGTCCATTATCTGAGCCGACGACCCCTTCGACCTTTCCTCCCCAACCTCTCTGATCCCTTCCATCCATACCAACTCTGATAGATACCCACCGACCTATAACCAACCAAAAACCACCCATAATGCCTCTCACCAACCGCCAACTAATCTACACCAACCCGCCGAAGGCCGCCATCGACCCCTCGCTCAGCGGCAACGGCACCTTCACCCTGAAGACAGCCACCATCCCGGACGATGTGCCCCTGAAGGACAACCAAGTGCTCGTGCGCATCCACTACCTGGCGCTGGAGCCCGCGATGCGCCAATGGCTGACGGCCAAACGGTCGTACATCGCGCCCGTGGAGGTCGGCAGCGTGATGCGGGGGCAGAGCATCGCCCAGATCCTGCGGGTCAGCGCAGCGCTGGCAGGCACCTACAGAATCGGGGAGTGGGTGGCGGCGCACTCCGGGTGGCAGGAGTACGCGGTTCTGCCCGCGAAGGCGATCGAGAAGATCACCATCCCGGCCGGGTGCCAGCCCACGGACGCACTGTCCGTGCTGGGCATGACGGGGCTGACGGCGTACTTCGGCATGACCGAGGTCGGCCGCCCGCAACGCGGCGATACGGTCGTCGTGTCGGGTGCGGCGGGCGCCACGGGCATGGTCGCAGGCCAGATCGCGCGCATCCAGGGCGCCAAGCGCGTGATCGGCATCGCCGGCAGCGCGGACAAGTGTCGGTTCCTGCGCGAGGAGCTGGGGTTCGATGCCGCCATCAACTACCGCGACACGGACTGGCGCAAGCAGCTTAAGGAGGCTACTCCGGATTTCATCGATGTGTACTATGATAATGTGGGCGGCGAGATCCTGGATGCGTGTCTGTTCCGCGCGGCCAAGGGGGCGCGGTTTGTCATCTGCGGCGCCATTAGCCAGTATAATGTCGAGAAGCCCCAAGGGCCGAAGAATTATCTGATGGTCATTGTGAGTTTTCCTTTGGGTTCTGCCGAGCAGTGCTGGTGGGTGGGCACGATTGGCGGCTGCTAACGAAAACACAGTCGCAACGGATCACCATGCGTGGGTTCATTGTGTTTGACTATGCCGACAAGTATGAGGCTGCGCTGAGGGAGCTGGGCACGTGGTTAAGTCAAGGGAAGATCAAGCGGAAGGAGCACATTGTGAAGGGCGGTTTGGAGACGACGCCCAACGAGTTGATCAATCTATTCAAGGGAGTAAATACGGGTAAGATGATGGTGGAGGTGGTGCCTGAGAGCGAGGCAATCAAGGTGGACAAGGCTAAGTTGTAAGCTGAGAAGTTACACCACGGTTGTTATAAGTAGACATATCTAGAATATCACAGACAATATGATATCATTAGGGACTAGCTAGGGGTCAACTCCGGCGCCACGATACATTATCAACATAATACAACATTCTCATAAGAAGACATTAATCATATCCACACTCCACACAGCTGCATTTAGACAGTACCCGCGGCCAAAACATAGCCTCCATCCACGACCAGCGTCTGCCCATTCAGGTACTGGTTGGTGGCCGCGAACAACACGGTACTAGCCATATCCTCATCCTTACCGGGTCGTCCAGCGGGGACCTTACCCTCATACTTCTCCTTCTCGAGGGCACTCTTCTGCTTCTCATCACTCTCACCAGCGGTCATCTCGCTGGGGAACACGCCGGGGGCGATGTTGTTGACACGGATGCGCAGCCCGGAGCTGGAGATCTCATGCGCCAGCATCTTGGTCAGATGGATGGCGGCGCCCTTGGAAGCATTGTAGGCGAAGTGGTGCTGGCTGGTCTTGACGATACCGGAGATGCTGGTGACGTTGATGACGGTGCTGCTCCAGCCGTGGGCCTGCTCGCTGCTCTTCTGCAGGAGGGGCAGGAAGGCCGCGGTGACCAGGTAGGGGTGCACGACGTTGGTGCGGTAGACGCTTTCCCACTCCTCGGGCGAGGAGCTCTCGTCGAAGAGCGCCTTGCTCAGCTCCGCCGCGTTGTCGGGCTCCGTGTTCTGCGTGCTGCTGCTGATCCCCGCGTTGTTGATCAGGATGTCCAGCCGGCCGGACTCCCGCGACGAGATCTCTTGGACCAGTTTCTGGATGCTGGCCTTGTCCGTCACGTCCGCCGTCAGCGGGATGATCTCCCCCTTCGCCGACTGGCCGCCGTACAGCTCCGCCACCCGCTCCAGCTTCTCCGACGTCCGCCCTGTGATGTACACTTTGCTGCCGTTGGTGGCGAGCGCCTGCGTGGCCATCAGGCCGATGCCGCTGCCGCCGCCGGTGATGAGGGCCACTGTTTGTGGGTGCAGTGTTAGCAGGTGTGGATTGCAAGAAAAGAGGTGCAATGGGTGCGTGAAAGTATGACGCGGGAACACGGAAGTGTGCTGAATATACTTGAGGTCAAAGTCCTGGAGGTATAAACGTACCCTTATCCTTGACATTGAACAGGCTCTCCAGAGTGAAGTTGGTGTTGCTGACTTCCGATGCCATTGTGGTTTTTGGTTTCTTGAATTGAGGTGTAGTTGCTGCGAATAGTGTAGGTCGTGAGGTTGTGAAGGTTCTGGATGCAGTTGCACTGGCGGGAAGAGATAGCCGGCTATATAGCTGGCTTGGGCGATGGCGTAATGATGCGCCGAGAGAGCGTGGCAACAGAATACTGCGATTGAACATGATGGTAGTGCATGGAAGGATTATTTGGCTGGCGTGATTGAGTGGGTTTAATGTAGGTGTTTTTAGGGCACCATCATCAGTATGACGTTTTCGAGCGCCGGGGCGGATGAAGTCATGGTGATGGTGAGAAGTACATGGTAGTATACGATCTGTTCACTAACCGTCGTCCCTGTTGATCCCACCTTGCCTTACTGCTAAGCACATTCAGGAACGGCACTCTATCTGTGATGATATCTACAGCTACCCAGCTAGTGATTCGGCCAGGAATGAAGAAAAATAGCCCAACAGAACAACAGTTCCTATGTATATACAGCGAGTTTGATTTACTACCCACTGAACTAAAGACAGACCAGTCCATCCTATTAACAGTTGCAGCCAATATTGTATCCACTGCAGCAGAATTATGTTCAAGAATAAGAAATGAGAAACGAATGGGAGTAATCACCGAACCTTCCCTGCTTCTCTCACCTCGCTCATAAATCCATCCTCGTCGCCTGCCGAGGAGAGTCGCCAGTAGTCACCAACCCCGGAAGATGCTAAACCTCCACCACCAAAACCTGCCGGCATAGGAGCTGCCGGTGCACTGTGGCGTTGCTCTGTGCTACTGTTGGTCCCCGCCTGACGCGGTCCCCAGCTCAGGATTCCCTGCACCGATTGTCGACTCTGGTCGTCGGGTTTGGTGAAGCCGAACAGCTGCAGCTGCAAGCTGCCCAGAGTCGCAACCGCCGCGCGAATCATGATCCGATCTCCTTCAAATACCCAGCAGTCCCAGACTCGGCTCAGGCGCTCCAAGTCCAGCCCGTTGGTCAGGAGGGAGCGGAACATCGGTTCCCAGATTTCCTCATCACTGAGACGCAGTGTCTCGTAGAGGTGCGTCGAAAGGCGTGGGAACTTGTATTTAAGCGTCGCGGACGCTAGCGAATATGTCCGACCGATAGCCCCGCGGTCGAGTGTCAAAAAGGCAACAGGAAGGGGCCGGTTTAGCGCATTGGCCATAGCGAGGAACGCGGAGGATGGAGACGGGAACTGGAGGACCAGAAGGGCCGCAATGGTATGCAGTCCAGTGACGTATCCAACATCGCTCCGATACATCGAGTAAGCCTCCAGGACATCGATCAACGTCTCGCGAAGCGGACCACCAGGTTGAAATAGTTTCAGATCCGGGAAAGCCTTAGACACGTCCTGCTCGATGGTCGCGAACCACTCCCGCATTCGCTTGTTGCTTTCCCCGGTATCACTGTCAGGGCGAGCACGCACGTCCTTGGCCCGTTGCAACGCCTTCTTGTACGTTTCGTCGGAGAGAGCCAGCTCGTTGCCAATGGCCCGCTGCCAGGTCGACCCTCGGAGTCGCGGCGGCACACCGCGCCACCAGAGCTCCCGCGTGCGCGGCTCCTGAATGACATTGTCCCAGTTTGGATAGACGTACTCGTCCCAGATTTGTTGGAGGGTTTCCCGAGTATTGTCCTTCTCGCATTTCTCAGAAGCGACTTTGGCAGCTCGACGCTTGTCTGTTTGAAAGGTTAGTGACCTGTCGAAGCTAGCCTTAGACGCAGACTTACCAGCTTCCCGTGATTGTGCCATCATCCTCTTGTACTCCTTCAAATGCCGCTTTTCCTCCAAGGGATCCTTTGGCGGCAGCCAGCTTGGCCGTGTCCGACTCAGCACCTTTTCTTTCTCCTTGCTGATAGGCAATGGGTCAATCATGATATTGGACTTCTGCAACGGTGGAAGTTCAATTGGGGTCTTTGAGCCCTGCTTGGAGTCCGTGCTAGACCTCAAAGAAGACAGCCCGCTCTGCAAAGTCTCTCCGCGCCGACGCTCTCGCTCGTCAGCATGAAACTCCAGCGCTTCGGTGATGATCCGCGCCTCTTCCGACAGGTCCGACATCATGTTGTTATACGAGTAGGTTCGGGGATTGCGAGGAGAAATCTGGCCTCGTTCCGGCCCCGCAGAGCTGGACCGTGGCTTGGAGCGAGCCTTTCGTGACGTAGGGGATCGAGAGCCCGAGGGGGACTTTGGAAGTGTCACGTCTGAGACGGAATGTGACAGTGGCAATGGCCGGGGTCCCGGGCTGCGGCCGTTGGGACTTGTGCTCCGGGAAGGGGCTCGATCTTGCATCGGTCGGGGAGAGATGGGAACGTTCCAGAGACTGGCATCTTCGGGCAAATCATCATCAGAATCGTGGTATTCCTCCTCCAGATCCTTGAGCGTTCTGCGAGTGCGCTGCCAGGATGGCTTGCGGTTGAGTGTCCGGGGAGCATCCGGGGCTAGAGACAAGCTGTGTGTGGAAGGTGAGGATCCTAAGCTCGAATTGGGTCGCAAAGGCGAATTCGATCGCGATCGGCGGGGTTTCGATACTTGAAGCGGTGCATGCTTATTCGCAGTAGAATCCCGCTGGGTTCCAGTCTTGGTGCTGTATCCGCCGCGGCCCGGCTGGGTCAGTGTGCCATTGGTCTGTCCCGTCAATTTACTCGGTTTCGCGGCGGTCAAATCGCGGGTCGTAACTACAGCTGACTTGGCCTGCATCCTGGCTGGGAAAGTCTGCGTGATAGTGCCCGTCCGACTAAAAGGGACCTTGGTGTCCATATAGGCGATATGCGCTTCGTCTTGGAGGTCGACTTCTTCAAAGTTGGCAATATCGGTGAAAAGAGCCTCGGGACCGGAATATTGGGAGGATGAACGAAAGGAGGAAGACTTGGAGGATTTGGACCCGGTCAGATCGGGCGGAGAATTTGGAGTCGAGCAGATGGTCGTCATCGCGGACAGTGCTTCGATTTTCAGACGACACGCTCCAGCAGTGGGAAAAACGAACCCAATTATAGACTTCTGGGAAGACGAATGAGGTCGGTGTAAACAAAGAATTGACTGCGCCGGGTTCCGATCGCGCCGCGAGCGTTGACCCAATCAGAGCAAAAAGTGTTTCAATGATGATGCGTTCGACGTCGCAGGGTGGATCTGATATACACGAAGAGTGAAGTCGAACGGCAATCGCGCCCGTTGGACCAGGCTGTAATATTCCGGGGGTGGGTCAATTCGAGAAGAGCTGGGCAGGAAGATCAGGCGTTAGTTGGCAAGAATGAGCGCATTGGGGGCCGCAACAGCAGGGGAGGGGAGGGAGGGATGAGAAAAGGAGACGGGAGAGGAACTAACCATCGACTGTAGGGAGATATCGAGAACGAAGGAATAGACAGAAGGAGAGGGAGTATGTGCTGTACGGAGGGTACTCAGTATTGTTTGTTCAACGATTGACTTGACAAGCGAAAGACAGGAATGCAGGGAAACGAAAGGAATAATAGATGGAAGGAGGAAAGAAAGACGAGAGTGAAGAAAAGAAATAATGGGAACAAAGAGTTGGACAAAGCGGGAACAGAAGAAGGAGAAGGGGAAGAGGAGAAGGAAGAACAAATGAATGGAACTACACTAAAGTGACGGGGAAATGATGAACTTGCTGCATCCGGTGATGGAGAGTGGAGGAGAGGGAGGAGAACGGAGGGCGAGAGGGAGGGATTGGGAGAGGGAGAGTGGATGAGGTGGTAATACACATACGTGGGAAAGAGTACTAGGTAACAGCTAGACTCCTCCTACTGCGCGAAGTTGCTCAGTAGAGCACTAAGTACCAAGTTGGTAAAGTACTGTACTGAATTGGTACTGCACCTCACCAGCGAGAGCCTCAGGCCATCGCAATCCCTCGAATTCCTCTTTATCTACGCCCCAGTGTGCCCCAGGAGGTAAGCCAGGCTGCTGCCACCTGCTAACTAAACTAACCACTAGACTATTAACTCCCTAGTTCACTTGTCGGCAGTGTCCACTGTCATTGTCGACGACGGTCTGGCCAATCCGCTAACACCGCACCAAATGAAGCCCCAGCAATACCATTTCCCACCTTAAAAGCTTCATTGGCTGGCTACCGGTAAGATCAGTTCCAGGTAATGCCGCCCCTCTCTCTTTCTCTAGTATCTCTTTCAATCTCATTTTACCAGAAGATTACCGGCTTTCACGGTTAAATTACACTACCACTGATGAGTTGCCAGATACAGACGAATGAGATTAGCTTTTCTAGAAGGACGACGAATTCAGTTGATCCAATGAAACGTAGTTAGTAGTTTCTGAATTCTGAACCATTATAGGACCAGCGAGTGGTTCGACGTGAGGGCACCACTGCACCATGATGAGATGATCGAAACCGGCCCCCCCCCCCGCCAGGAGGAGGAGGAGAGGAACTCCCCCGAGGCAAATCAGAGATGCAACGCACCGCCACAGCTGAGACGAGATCGACTGGAAAGATCGCTGGGCTGTGAGGAGGTGCGCTGCTACTCTACTCTCCAGACGAACTTGGGGAGGGTAACAATTGCGCAGTGCTCAGGGCTGCGACTCCAGATCGATCCTGAGAACCCTCGATCCAAAAATTGCCTCCCCCTTTCCTTTTTTTTTTTCCCTTCTTCTTTTCTTTTGTTTTGTTTTCTTCGCCTATTGATAGACCATAAAACCCGTCCCTTCTGTTTTTTATGCTTCTTGTACTTCACCCCTGACCCAGAGAATCCTCGTCCCTATGGTAAAGGTTCCGTGGGTTGTCGGCCTGGAGGATTGAGGATTGCCAGGTACGTACCGGGCGTACCGGTGGAACGCATCGAACGAGCACCTTTCGGAGGTGGACCGCCACTGACCTCGGTGGAGGGGGGTTTGTGGTACTTCTCCGTACTGTACCTGAATACTCGAGAGGACTAATTCTCCACTCCCTAAAGCAAAAAGTTAGTCCACAGCCCTAACCCGTTTTGGGTCATCCACGCTTGCGGTAGTTAGTCAAACGAAAGCAAAACGAATAACAATTGGAGATTGATTATTAACTACTAATGAAAATACTCGCACCACCACCCACTACGGTTACATCCCACACCCACTCCCACTCCCACAACCACACCACACTAGAACAAGCGGCACTGTCATCTGGGAACAATGATAACCAACAATGCAACCTTATTGTGTCTTAGACTTCTGACTTAGTACGTACTCTGGGTTCAATCCTTCGCTGCGATCGGATCTGCTGGGGGGGGGGAGGTACTCCATATCTCCGTCCACGGGCATCTCAGACATCCATGATCCATGAGATAGATCTCACACACTCACGGACCGGTCGAGATTGCCGATCAACGGACCACTCTTTTCCTGCTGGCGGATGACCCGGATTTCCTGCTTCCGTCGCTGTAGTAATCTTGTCGTCACTAGTCCAAGGTAGAGCCCTCTGCCTCTGAACCGGTTCTCGCACAACACGAACCACGATCCTCATGTTTATTACATCACATCACTGTTCTTGGTCTGATCCTGCTCACACAAACAAGATCCCCGACTGGGATTGTTGATACTAGCCATTTCCAGTCCTTTTTTCCCCCTGATCCAACCAGCCCACATCATTTCAGTACCCCAGGTACAAGCTAGAGTAAGGCAAAGGTAAAAACCAAACAAACGGTCGCTCAGCCAAAGCCGGTGCCAAGGAAACGCCTCCCGGGAGTCTATCAGAACTTCCACTTGTCATAGACGGCATTGCCGCGGCGCACCACTAGGGCCAGACGAGCAGCGGTGGCCGTGGATTTGGGATGGGTCTCGCGTAAAATTGCCTGCAGCCAGCGCAGGACAGCTACGTACCGCGTCTGCTTGCGGCCAAGAACGGCTTGGAAGGCTGCTGCCGCCAGATACTCGACCTCGGCCGGTTGCGCAGAACAGATCGCGGCCGAGTTGACCTTCTCTTGTCGACGGCTCGTAATCAAACGGTTGGCAAGATAGACAAGATCACGAATGATCCGGATTACGACCTCTGGTGCAGGATGTGCTCGTCCGGACAGGGCGCGCGTGTACCGGTACAGCCGCATGCCCGAGATGGCGAAGCTCGCATACAGATTAGCCAGTGCGACTGCAACCGAGTTGTGTTGAGTATCAAGATACATCGGATGCATGAGCGCCTTGAAGGACGTTAGTAACTTGCGATGCAGTGAGCGGGCGGGAGTTCGCGTCGATTCCACGGTCAAGGAGTTGGTCAGGCTCGCCGCGACCGATTCACCCCCGTCGAGGATCCGGTCGTGGTCCTTGTGCAGTTCTAGAGTGCGGGAGTCGATCAGGCTACCACAGTAAGGGAACAACCTAGCGTCTACGATGCGGGGGATGTGCGCGCCATCCACTTGGACGGAGAAGTTGACCAGACTCTTGGCAGGGTTCACGGAGATCCCATACGCTGGCTGGCCCCGGATCATCACCTGCAGAAAGCGCTTGGCTTGGGCGAGGTCTGACGTAATGAGGAGGAAGTCATCGATCAAGCGAAGAAGCAGAGTACCGTCGGATCGGAGGAATCCCAGCACCTCCCGTTCCATCTCCGCGTAGAAAAGATTACACAGCAGACTGGAGAGGACCGAGCCCTGGGGTATACCGTTGCGCTGGCGGAAAAAGCGCTCTCCGAACTTGACCATGTTGTTCCGCACATGCTCTTCAAGAAGATCAAGTAGATCATCTGAATGCTTCTCCCATTGCCAGAATGTATCCACAAAGACAGTATTTCTTCGTTGGCTGGTGCCTCCTCTGCTGGCTAACTCTTCCAATTGCTGGGGACTCTTTGTTGGGGCAGCTCTACCCACCCATCTCTTCCAGGCCCGGCTTTGCCGCTGCTCATGAAGCGGCCACATATTGTTGAACTCGTCTGCCGGCTTCATCTCCACAAATTTCGTAAAATGATATGCTTCTGCAGAAACCACCTTGTCAACGAGACGGACCATACTTTGTTGTGGAATAGTGTCAAAGCAAGACTGGATGTCGACTTTGACGAAGTACAGCCGAGGTAAAGACGATGGACCGACAGCCGCCGGCTGTCGCGCGAGTAAATCCCTCTTGAACCTCTTCAGCCGAGAATGCAACTCTCCAACCGAGTTTAGGCACGAACCTAACTGGGCTGGATTGTGCATCTTCTCGAAGTTCAGCACACTGAGGATGGGACCGACCGTGGAATTTACAGTGCGTTTCGATGATGGCATCCGTCGTTTAAGATTCACAATGGGTCGGATACCAGTGGCTTTTGGTAGAAGGCGTAAGGACCCATACCCCAGTGTCCTGTGGCCCAGCACCCGTTGGGCTTCTTCCGGCCTCAATTCTTCGAACATAGAAGCCCGCAGTCCAGCTATCGGCTGCTCGGTCAGATTGCGCCAGACATCGTGTCGGAAATAGAACAACCTGTTTCGATGGCACTGGGATTCGGTGACATAAAAGGCTGCACGAATCAGGGGGATGAGAATGGACTCGAATAAGTAGTATATAAACTCATGAAAGAGTTCCGTGCGCTTCTGCAGGTCGGAGAGCGGAAGCTTATGATGTGATGGATCGACAAGTTGATTGCGGCCAGCAGCGGGACCGAGCCAGGATATGCAAGATATCTGCAAGCAATAATCGGCCCGTTAGCATGCATGACACGATGTCGATCTTGAGTATGTGCAAACAAACCTTAACGCCTTTGCACACTTCCTGGAGGGACAGATTTTCGTACCGTCGCATACGGACAAACCTGTCAACGTTCTTGAAAATTACACTCTGGTTGTGAAGTCTGTTCTGCCCGGCGCCAAAGAATTGTGGTGGAATCAATTTACGGATAACGGCTTGACAGTAGGCCGAGATGGAAGAGGTCGGGGTCGCATAGTCCGTCAAACTGGGCTTCAATACACTTGCTGGTTTGGTCGCCGGCTCCCCCGCATCATACGTGGGTATTTCGATATGATCGGGCTCTTTCTGACCTTCCGAGGTAGAGACACTCCCACTCAACGCACGTATTTCGAGTCCTCGTTCCTGGGTTGTCAGCTTCTCGGACGCCGGTGGGTTCGATTTAGCGCTCGATTGGGAATCCTGTGGGCCGAATTTCCATGGACCAATACGCTAGGTTCTTAGCTGATTGTATTGATTGCAGGGTCGCTAGTTACACTTACCTCTGAAGAACAATAGTAGTCTAACAAGTATCCGTACGGGCAGCGCTTATGACGATTGAGTAATTGTTGGACCAGCTCCAGCGCCTGTCCTTGAAGGCGCTTTGGGATTTTCGCCGGCTGGACTCGTTCGTTTTTCGCGATCTGATGCTCGGAGTCCGGGGAAGGGCGTTTCCGCTTCTTTGATTTGGCTGCGATCTCATCTTCACGCGAAGAAAACTTCAAGTCGTTCTCCGGGTCAGGTTTAAAAATGTTTGTCAGTGCGAACTGCAAGGGGAAAATGTGTTGCATGACGTGGACGGCCTTGGACTGCGAGGTGGACGAGGAGAATCGGTTGAGAACATCTACACCAGTTATCAGTATAATGATAGCGAGAAAGGGCTCTGGGGTTTACTTACGGTTCCCTAGGCCCAATTTTGGTTTTCCTTTGATGACAGGCATGAGCGGAGCGTAAAGCATGCGGTGACGGTTGAAAGCAATGGTACTGGGCGTCCGCCGATTTGACTGGCTCTCAGAACAGCAATCTGCCATCATCTGCTGGCCATCCTTAACCACCGCGGATCCTTTGCCAGCGGGGGGACGATTTGACTCTAAAGATGTTTGCTGTAGCTTCGTGTTGACGGGATCAAGTTTCTCGAGAGAATACCCTAGCCAATTACTCAGTCATGTATCACCCCCATGTGAGCCGATGAGGAACACATACCGCAGATCTGGTGGTATATGCCTTTGCGTGAGTCCAAGGCTGTGAAAATTCCACAATCGCACAAGAGATGCAGCATAATGGTTTCCCCATTATTGCCCAGTAATCCCAGAACCTCCGTCCAAGGCGCACTTTTGAGCTTCTGAACATTCTCATTCGAGAAGTGCGTCTCAACAACACTTCGAAAACCCCGAGTCAGAAGATGATGCGGCTTTTTCTTGGACTCGGAGAGGAATGGCTTCCAGATCAAAGCTATAGCACGGTCCACGAGCTACAGGACAAGTCAGCTTTTCTGCGAACATATCCATTTAATGCCCAGTAAACGTCATTCGCAAAGGAGTGAAATGTATGAAGCTAGGATGCAAGCAGATACAGCGCTGATGGAATGAAGGACGACAAATTCGGGTGAGAGGCATACCTCAGCTTGTGCACATGGCGGCCCAGTGTCTGTGCTCGCCAATTGAGACTTGGGTTGGGATTTGCGCAACGCAGCCAACTCTTGGCTTCGCTCATGATCACGAGCAGGGGATGGGTCTTGCGTGATTCCCACCAAAGTGGAATCGAGGAGAATAGCTAGTTCTCGGTGTGAATCCGAGCACGAGTCATAGGCGCCTTCTGCGGGATCCGTTCGGATCGATACGATTTTCCGACGGCGGGATCGTGAAACTGATGGTATTTGGCGCAAGAGGAACTGCCTCAAAGTTACCACTCTCTGGTAGTATAGCGAAATTACTGGGTGTGTGAGTCTGGTCGCATGGTCGGAAGAACAGCTACTTGGATTCCTGAAACCGGTGGAGGCCGTAGTGATGCGAGTCTGCGACGAATGGCCTTGCGCATGCTTGCCCTTCACGGGCCTCTTCCTCTTTTTCCCCATATGAAAGAAGACGAGATCCAATTGTTCCTCAGCTTCACTCGGACGACAGGCAGATCACCCGGCGCCTTTGCCGGGGGACGAACTATGAGGGAAGGTAGGTGACCCAGTCAACCAATGTAAGTAAGTACTTCTTGGCGAACGAGAGGAAGCGCGCGTTTGAGTGACGCGCCATGACACGCTACGCCTGGACCGCGTAGAAATTAAGCCAATCAGGAAAGATAAAGAGGCACAGGCTGTCTATCCCAGTCTGAGAAGAGCTTTTGCGACCAAGCGCAGCATCACCCCATTTTCGTGCTAATTCCTTCTCGTATACAGGAATAGACAGACAGTCAGGTACGGAGTAGTCTACAGTACTACTCCATCGTTACTAGTTAATGACTTAGCCACACAGCCTTGCGGTCCCTTTTTTCCTCCCCAGTTTGGCGATCAATGGGAGCTAATCCGTTTTGGGCGATCGACCAGAGATGAGGGAAGGTGGTGTTTTACAGTGAGACAAAAGAACCCCATCCTCCACTCTTCGATGCAAGCTAGTCCCCCAATGGAACATGTCTTCGGTGGTCAATTATTGAAGGGCAGCCGAGCTGGGGATGAAGTGCCCGTAGCAGAAAGGAGAAGGAAGAGAAGGGGGAGCCTTCCACCTATTGTTCGAAGCGAGCTCCCCGTCTGGAACGCGGTGCGATCCTGCAGCCTGCGAACTCTATTAGATTTAGGGTGCTGAGGCGATCACCTATTGTTTACATGAACCTTGTTCGGTCTGCGATATGTCTATTTTCTGCTCCGTAAAGTCCTAGCCCAGTGGGTGCCAGGGGCGCAGATCCTTGAAGGAAAAGACAAGAAGAGGAAAAGAAAAAAGACAATGATCAAGAATCCCATGTATGGCTCGAAACTGCCGACCCGTCACCTTTAGGGGATGATGAGAGGCACCGAGGATAATCCTCGGTACACACGACACCGTGTGTCTTGTTGAACAGCTCTTCCGAAAGTGAAGTACGATCCAGTCATGATGTATGGAATTGGTAACAGAAGGCTTGCTTCAGGTGCCTCGCTAACTAACGGTAACCATGAAAACCTTTTCAAGCGACTGCCGATCTCTGCCCCTACAGGCCCAACCGCGAGTGGTTGCACACGAGAGCATACTCGTCGTCGTCACTGACTGTTGTGGTGAAAGACAGCAGTCAGCAGCACCTATTACTACTATCTGTTTAGCAATGTTAGAATATTGACGTATCTCAATTGAAAGCTGTCTCTCGTAGCCAGCATTTGCAGGTGTCTGTCAAAAGGGTTGCGGATGCAAGAGGGCGACATCCGGCGGGCCGGCGGGTGGCTAGTGATAACCTAAGTCATTATTGATTGAACTCCTTTTATACATGTACATACGTACTCTGTTCTGAGGTTAACGACGTTCGATGCAGACCATCCTTCAAGCTTAGCGGAAGTAGCACCTGTCTGCTGCATGTTGATGTTGATCTGTCTACCTTTTTTCCTCGAGTGATTTACTACGTCCGGATGTTCGGTCAATTGAGGACAGAACCACGGGGGTTCATTCGGTCTTCATCTTATTTTACCGCCGCTTTTGTTTCACTGAGCAGAAGCCACGAGTGACAGGTTTGTAAGCATGGGGAATTGGACCCTCCCTTGGATGGACCAGGAGATCGAGGCTCCGGACAGAGATGGGACTGGGGCTGGTCACGAATAGTAGTCTAGGCGACATGACCACCCAATAATAATAGTATCACAATGAGGTTGTTGTCCGGCAATAATGACCCCAGATATCGCTCGTAGTAATCATCATAGCCATGGTGCTCGCACGGACAAGGATGGTCGGCCGTGCCAGATCCTTGGAACGACGGTGGTCTAGAAAGGTCGCCGCGCTAGGCTTGAGTACGTAGCAAGGAAAAACAGATTGGCGCATTGCGTCCCCACAACGTCAGCCTCGCGCTTCAATTTGCTCCCCTGAGCAGGTGTTTAGTGTTAATATAACGAGATTTGCAGATTGCTGGTGATTTCTGGTGTATCTTCCCTTTATCTGAGTTCCTTGCCCGGGAGGAAAACGAATGATCGCGGTCCTGAGATCCGCCTTGGGAAAGCAAATGTATCCGTAGGACATTCTCTCAACTGCAAGGAAGACAGACCAACGGACCACCGTCAAAGAGAAGCGGTGTGCCTCCGGGGGCATCCTGGGCCGTAAGAGACAGGGATCCCATCATTGTTCTGTCTCTACTCCGTATATCCTCGACGAGCCGAATAGAGGCTGACTAGCCAATAAGATATTAACATCGTCACCCGGTATCATGTTACCCACCTCGAATCACAAATCGTCTATAGCAGTCAGGTACAGTACGTCAAGCCTGTTCTCTGGACAATCAAGGCTGATGAACTTGTCCGAAGCTGACGCAGATATGGTGCAGATGCACACTGCAAATGAAAGTCATCGTTCTTCCATAGGTGAGCACCTTAGAAGAGCCTGCTTTGTATTCCAGTCACGAGCTGTTCGATATATGATACGGCAGTCATTTGGCGTGGGATTGAGTACATGTATAGGATAAGTAGAATACAAACGATCTGGTATGCTTCATTGCGTGCAGACCAGCTTGAATTATAGAATATAGAGTAGTAGTGTGTGGAGTACAGTAAATAACTGGATATCGGCAGTCCTCAATTGGCACTGCGATCGTTCTGCATGGCTGACCTCAGGCAAAATTCGTCTACGCAGGATACTAGTAGACTGGGGTAGTACGGAGTGAAATTGCTGGTGCCCCGTGTGCCACCCTTTACTTGTCTTGTCCAGACATTTGCTGTGCGACCGTGACAATAACCTACTGGGGCAGTTCTGATTGCGTTCAAGGCCACTGCCGAAATGGACCCATCTCTCCCTTGCGCCATCTTACTGTCGATTTTCAAACAGGCAAAAGCAGCAGCATGAAGCGGTACCGTGTTGGGACGGATGCGAAATCGACTACAACTTGCGAAGCTCGGGAATAGGAGTCGATCGCCGATGGTGTGGTCTTCAGTCATTTGCTTCGACTGAAAAGAGAGGGTCATAAGAGCCAAGCTCCGGAATCTGGAACCTTGATCTTATTGTGAAATATACTATGCAGGGTCACAACGCACATGAAAAGAAATCGGTAACATGTATTGCTTGTCAGCGTGGGCGTGGGGATCCTGAGAACCATATTGTACGAGTCATTTTCTAGAATCCTGCAGAGATGGAAGAAAAGGATACTATGCTAGCTATGATATACTGCCGCCTCAACTCAACACAATAGATTAAGACCCTTATCTTCATCAATGTACGCTAGTTGGAGTAAGTAAGCTCTTTTGAACGTACCCGGGGAAGATATATATGCATAAAGATGGACGTATTGACGAGACGCTTTTCGCACATACTTACCTTCAAGTATGCCAATTCTGAGGAGTTTAGGTCGAGGCAGATCGATACTTGTGTAGTAGTTCATCCAGCCCTTTGAAGAATAGGCGCACGGCGAACAAAGCTCAGCGGGGGAAGTGTTCCATGGAACGCTCGAAGGGACGACGAGTCCCAATCCGACTAACACCCACCACTAACGGCTGGGAATAGAGTTCATGTGCCGACTTCTTTATGGCTTCCATGCTCACTTCCAGCCATAGCAGCAGATCAACCGAATTCTCTCGCCTACCAAACCAACTGCGGTATATTCTCCAGCACTATCCCATCATCTGTCGGTGGTCAGGCAGATACCAGCCTACCTATCAAATCGAAGTGCGCACGGAGATTCCGCCACTGGACCCGTGGAGATGTTCGCAAATCGACTCATCGAACTGCTTCTCTAAGTCGGCCACACGTTGCCCCTCTAATCTGAGGATGAACTTCTGCAGGGCGAGACACCCAGAGAGGATGTGTATTGGGACTGTAGTTACAGATTCCTGAAGGCTGAGCAGACGGGCGAAGCAGGGATTAGTACTCCGTAGATAGATAGTTAGCCTATTGGATAGCCTCACGATTCTTGCTCTCTCATCCAGTCCTTCCATGGCCTTGTCTGTGGATTTCTTTCTGTTTTCAAACTCTGGTGGTTTGAAATGTCAAGCGAAAATCTCTTTTTTTAGGGGCCCTCGGGTTAACATTGTTATTATCATACGGTATCTATATTGGGTTTTCTTCGACTAGTTCTAGAATGGGGGGTGTGGGAAGGGGGAGGGGTTCTTTTTTTTTTTTAACCCCCTCTGCACACCCGTCACCCTTTCGTCTCAGAGTTCTGGTCAATTCCCTGGGTGGATTCCCCTCGCTTTTTACTCCTGATTATCCACCTTCTCCGCACCCACTCTCAAACCCAAGGTCGATTCTTGCCGTCACTAGTAAGTTCAGGTTAGTGAGTTGCTCACCAGTACCAAAAAATGCCGACGCATCCAGTAATCTGTAATTCTTCCAGTTCCCTGACCCTACCAAAATCAAAGAAAATCTGGAAACAGAAATAAAAGGAAAAAAGAGAAAAAAAGAAAAAAGAAAAAGAAAAACAAATACTAGAAGGAACACACGCACACACACACACACATGCACACCACAGTGACCATACCCTTCCAATCCATCAAACGGGGCATCTGAAAGTAGTCGGCCCACCTGCAGCCCTTCCCAATCGATAGAAAGCAACCTGACACTGGACTGGACACACTGGGTCTGGGCTTTTCCTATCGATTACTTGATGGGTACCGTTTGGTTGCTGTTCGTCATCCATCCATGAATGAATGAATCAATGAATGGTTTGTTTCTTCCCTTTTTTATTTGACTACCGTCTTACCCTGCCCTGCCACTTTGACCTCAACAAACCCCTCCACCTCTCGGCCCGCTTGCTACGTCTTCCCACACCCTCTTCCTTCTCTGGCTTCCATCATCACCCATCACCCATCTCCCATAACCAACCTACCCCCTCGACATCCCCTCACCCCTCACCCCTCACCCCTGCTCGACGCCGTGCAAACGTTTGTCCCGCCCGTCGTCTGACCCAAGAGGAATTGTTGCTGCTGTTGGTTTTCTCTCTGTCGACCTTTATCCACCTGGGGGTCATTGCTGACAGACGGCTGTCTCGCAGTCTGTTGTTCCTTCAGTCCCGTCCGACGACTTGCTCCGCTTCTATTTTGAGTCCAGCACCAGCAGCTTGACAAATCTTCCGGTCTTCGGGGGTACGGCTTTCGAATCGTCCCTCTCTGGCTTGTGGTCTCAACTCGTCTCAAATATGACGCCGTGCTCGGGTGGTACTACCCGGTGATGATTGCCTTATAGTTCTGGCCCGGTTAACCTGCAACCTCATCGGTGGCCTACCAGCGGCGAACAACGCATCAAGAGATTAGTACCTTTGACCTGGAAAACACCCACCCCTTCCCAACCAACTATTCTATTGGGTACTTGCTCCTTTCTTTTCGCATTAATTTTTTTTTTCTTCGTCCAGCCTCCCCCCTTACCCACCTCTGTTTGGGAAAAGGGCAAAGTCGAAGGAGGACAATCCCGCTGACTCTCTGCCTGAAGGATGCAAGATGTCCGGGAGTGATGTTGAGCACGCTTCCCGGCTCTTGGACGTCAGCCCGCGGCTATCTTCCTCGAACACCCACGATATTCACAATTCCTATTACGGTTCCCTGTCAAACGACCCTTACCACGTCTCCCTAGCCGCGCCCTCCTTCTCTCCTTCTCTGCCGGGCAAAACGTATCCCACTGAACCGAGTTTCACAAGCCTGCAACCTTACTCCCTACCTGCAACCCTTCCCTCCGACGATCATAAGGACAATTCTGGCCGATATTCGCCTGACCCTGACGACTTTTATCGAGCGCAACTGTCCACAGGCAATGGTACTGTGAATGGTGGTGCTGTGGTGGAAAACCAGAGTGACGTAACCGCAGAGCAGTGTCCCCATCTATTCCAGCGTGTTTCCTCCGTACCAATACATTCGATCGAGTCCCCCAGCGGGAGTGCGGGTCAGGGTCGTTCAGTATCCGACTCGTCGTATAAGGGCATTGGTGGTAACTCCGCTTGGGGCTCTTCCGCGCGGGCTTCGACGGCCAGGGCCAGGCAGACATCATTCAAAGACCTGATCAACAAGTTTAATAACAATAGCGACCAGGTTCTCCCCGTTCCTTCGTCACTCACAGCTGGATCACGGGCGCCGTCGAGGGCTGCTAGTCCTACCAGCCCAATAGGAGGATCGTATCGGTCGGGAGCTCTCCCTCGTTCGCGTGAGGCTCACAACACGGCCAATGCACAAGAGCTTCCCCGTTGGCATTCCCTAGATACCTTTGGCGAAGACACGTCGGATTTAGTTTCTCTACCCCTCCGATCAATTGACCTGGGCGGAAACATCCTGAACAACCGCAATTTAGATACAGATCCCCGACGTGCAATCTTCGGCGAGAAACTCAGCGTCGACACGGGGTTTCTGAGCGCTGAGTACATTGCCTCGCGTCGTCGCGGTTCTGAGGGGAATATTCTCGGCTCAAGTCCCGCTTTCTTAGACCACCTAGACCATTCGTCCGGTCCAACACCACTAACACCCACCGCATGGTACCTTGGACGTACCCCATTCTTGGAAGAAGTGAGTACAGGCAGCAGTCCGAACAATCACAGAAGAACACAAAGCGATTTCATTGGGACTTGGTCGGTGGAAGCGGCGGTGCAGCCTCCTGATTTCCACATGGCTGTTCCTGCCCCCTTGCAGTCTGGTTCTCAAACATTCCAAGAACACTCAAACGCTAAATCTCGCATTCCGATTTCATCTCACCGCCTTCTCTCAACGTCGGATTCAGACGAGTCTTCCACCCTCTCGAGGGCTGGTTTTACGGGGTCCGGAAGTCATTCGACGGTTCGAGTTCCCCTGCCACCGAAAGGCACTAGCCGCCTTCCCAAACCGTCGCCTAAAGCACAGCCTGACACGTCACACGATGATCATCATGTCCTGATAACACCACCACGCACTCATGCCCGGTCCCGTCGTCAGGTCCCCGAGAGCAGTGGTCTCTTGGAAGCTTACATAGCCGCACCTCCGCCAGCCAAATCGCCACCCCTCCGGAGCTCCCGACCTCGGCAACCCGTATCACATACTACCCTCCAAACTCCCCGGTCGAAAGTCGTTGAAACCGTGTCGAACTTCCAGAGGCAGATCAACCGTGACCGAGAGTCTAGGAACTCGCGAGCTCGGGATCGCCGATTGCCAGAGTTGGGCAATGTTGATTTTGCGACCCGACGCCAAAGGATCCAACAGGCATTCAATCGCACGGTACAGGAGAATGAGAGAAAGGAGGAGAAAGCGGCCGAGATTCGACGTCGAAACAAGGAATTGGAAGACACGAAAGGCACCGACGCCGTTGAACCTGAACCATCGCAGGCTGAGCAGCAAGACATTGGTGACTCTGCGCTGATGAAGGATGACCTTCCTGTCGCTGACGGAGCAGCGGGTGTAGGTCACGAGCAGTTAAAATCGGAGCAAGAGCTTGAAGAAACGCGGACGGTACCCCAATTATATGTCGATACAGATGTGTTCTTGCACGGGAAGCAAGCTGAAATCTTCGATGCGCATACAACCATGGATTCTCCAACATTAGGGCACCAGCCTGTCATTGCTGGTGAGCTGGAAAGTGACTGCGACCTTGCACATGGGGCTCCCGCGTCTGCTTCAACCTTGGAATCCAATGAGACACATGTCACCGCTTTCGACATAGAACCACAAGTCGACCTGATGCAAAATAAGCATGCTTCACATCGAGCATTGTTGAATCAAATCATGCACATACGCGAGTCGAGCTCCAGCAGTTCATCATGCGATGAACAAGATTGTAGCCTCTCCGAGCCTGACGACAAAGAGTCGGTGCCCATCATGCTACGGGATGCGCTGGGCTTCGATGACCATACAGACAGCAGCGAAAACCAGGAGCCATGCGAACTCTATACGCAACATGAAACAACAGACAACGAGATGTCCCACCGATGGAGTATTAGTTCTTGGTCATCATCTCTCCACAACCAGCATTCTACAGACGAACAGTGCGAGCGCAGTGTTGATGACATCCCGCCACCTCGCCATTCCGCTGATGAGAGTGAATTTGCAACCCAATCATGTTCTGCGTCGTCCTGTACGCGATCGGAGGCTGGTTACCCGCTTGCGAATCCATTGACACAGACATCACCACACGAATTAAAGACAGAGGCTGTGCCACAAGCCAATCTTTATACATTGACTAGTGCCCCTAGCTTAGCCAGGCTCGGGGGCTGGGATTCCAAGCGAGTCAGTCAGCTCTACATCCAAGAGATCGCTAACGGACGAGGGCTTGGTCTTCCCTTGCCGGCTATACGTGCTTCTCCGGAGCCCCAACAGCTAGACGTCCATACGAAGGGAGATGACGGGTCTGAGGACACGAGTTCGGTCCCTCGTAGCACAGATATGTCTGCCTCTGAGCAGACCAGATATGCAGCCAGTCTCGTCATGCGCGATGACTGGGAGCATGCATCTCCTTCCATCATGGATTGGATGCAGGTTGCTGCCGCGGATGGTTCAACCCCGCAAGGCGAACGAAGCGGTTCGGCGTCTAGACTAGACAATGCTCCCACGCCGCGGATGGACACGTCAAGCGCCCGGGACCCATCTCAGGAAGCGACAGAGGAACGCCTAGGACTGGCAATCAATGTCCAGGTCCCTCAGGACTCGAATTTTCAGGAACATAGCTCGACCCTTGATCATCGGCAAGCGGCAACCGACATCGCGCAGCCACCCACTCGATATGATTCAGCCGCCACTATCGCAAATCAGCGTTTCAGCACCTATATCAATGGGATATTCTCTCCCTTGGACCCTATTAATAGCACAGGGAGCAGTGAAAATTCATCTCTACAGCGGCTTGAACCGACGCTATCTCCGGAGACGCTGCACTCGTCCGCGACATCACTGGCACATTCAAGCTCTGAGCATCTCCAGTCGAAACCCCAGTCACCTTCGCCGGAGCAACGGCGGCTGAAGAAGCGACGAAACGTGATCAAGGAGCTCGTTGATACTGAGTACACCTTTGGTCGGGATATGAAAGTTGTTGACGATATATATAAGGGAACCTCGAGTTCATGTTTGGACCTCTCTTCTGAAGATGTCAAAGTTCTCTTCGCAAATTCCGACCAAGTCGTTCAGTTTTCTATGGCTTTTCAAGACGCCCTGAAAGAAGCCGCGAAAAGTGTCTATGTGATGCCCAAGTCGCAGAGATGGAGCAGCAAGCGCAGTGCGCGACATCGCCAAGCTTCAAGGAACGAGGACAAATCAGACAACACGGGCCTCTCGGACCATGAAAAGGACCAAATGACCTTCATTGGACAGGCTTTTGTGGCACACATTGGCTACATGGAGAAGGTTTATGCGGATTATCTCAAGAATCACGACGCTGCTAATAGAAAGCTCCAAACTCTGCAGCGGAATCCGAAAGTGGCGATCTGGCTCAAGGAGTGTCGTGATTGGGCTTCCGATCTCACGACTGCATGGGATTTGGACTCCTTACTGGTGAAGCCCGTACAGAGGATTCTGAAATATCCTCTGTTGCTGTCTGAACTTCTCGACTCGACACCCAATGACCACCCTGACCGGACAGCTCTCATTACTGCTTTCGAGGAGGTCACCAATATCTCTGTCAGAATCAATGAAATGAAGAAGCGTGCGGATCTGGTGGGCCAGGTGGTCGGACGTAAACGCAAGGAGTCTGACGTTCGGACCGGCTTGTCCAAAGCTTTCGGCAGACGCACCGAGAAGCTGAAGCAGCAAGTAGGACTCATCGACTTGTTTGAAGACAAAGAATACGACAGCCTATCCCAGAAGTTTGGAGATAACTTTTTCCAGCTGCAGCTCGTCATGCGTGATGCAGAATCATACACAAAAGAGGTCCAGAGTTCAATGGATTGTTTCAACGAATTTGTCGTTGCGATCGAAGGATTTGTTGATGTCGCGCAGTCGAATTATGTTGAGCTGGAAGGCAAATGGCGCGAGCTTAAAGTCTCTGTTCAGGCCATTATGACGGTGGCTTTGCCCGACCATGTAAGTGCATCATCATGCGTAGGAAGCATTGAACCTGTCGATCTCCATTACTAACAGGTGGCCATTCAATCCTTTAGCTTGCGGTGGTCCGAAAGAGCGTCATTGATCCGATGGTCACCCTACTCAAGCTTCACGATGGTCCCCAGAGAGTGATGAAGAAGCGCGACAAGCGACTCATGGACTATGTTCGCTTCAAGAGCATCAAGGATCGAGGGGACAAGCCCGACAAAAAGACCATGGAACAAGGGGAACAATTCATTGCCCTGAATGAAACCCTCAAGGATGAGCTCCCGAAGCTCTATGCTCTCACTGCCAAATTGATGGAGGCCTGTTTGAAGAACTTTGTGCAGATTCAAACCACCTGGTTTCATCAGTTGCAAAGAAATCTTGGATCCTTATTCGAGGCATTCCCAGAGGACATTCAAAAGATTGTTGAGAATTGGTCCTCCAAATTCAACTATGCTGAAGGGCAGGTGCTCTCGCTTGGAACCTGCAACGGATCCTTGCTCGCCGATACCATGAATCTTGTCAACTTCAATACGCCTTCGACCGGGGCAACTATCAGCTCGCCTCGACGACCTTCCACGGTGAATAGTGTCAGCACGCGGGTGGGCTCGATGGTTGAAGAATCGCCTAAGGCGTCTCAGGAATTCAGTATCGGCGGCTATGCTTTCCAGTCGCCCAGCATCGACAGCCAATCTCAAGTGTCTCTGGGGCGACGTAGGGCAGACTCGACTTTCTCCAGCCGTGCTCATGAATCTGCCGAAATCCCCAGAAGCCAAGTGCTTCAACAAGTCACCAGCGCATCAACAGGGTCGCTTGCAGCATCCGGCTCTAATACCGAGTCATTCCCGAGCCTGCCCAGATTGAGCCTTGACTCCCCATTCTTAGTCGATGTCATTGGCCCCTCCCAAACGGAGACCAGGGCTGATGATGAACAACATGCGTCGTCTAGTGGCCAGTACTCGAACTTCTTCTCCTCAGCGATGCCGATGTCGGATAATCCACAAGAGAACACACCAATGGATCCCGAGCCTCCGAAAGAGCCAGCAGTCCTTTTTCTCGCAGCCAGTATATACGAATTCAATATTGATCGCGCTCGAAGAGAAGCTGGTTACCCATATCTGACATATGTTGTGGGCGAGATCTTCGATGTCATTGCTGAGAAAGGCGAACTTTGGCTGGCTAAGAACCAAGATGATCCCGAACGTCAGGTCGGCTGGATCTGGAACAAACACTTTGCAAAGCTAACGAACTAGAGCACTCGTTCTGCGAGTCCATTTTGATTACAAGTCTTACAAGCCTAAGGAATCATGCTTTGGCGCGACGTTTCCCCAGGCGACGACTCATTGAAATCTACAATCTCATGCCTCCGCATGTTATACGCATCTATGATCTTACATGGTGGCACCTTTGATAGTGCGACATTGTTTATACTATTGATTTACTATTACCTGTCTTTATATCCCCTCATTGTTTTCGAGTTCAGCGCGATGGGTGGGGATTCCATGTTGGCGAATATTTTCTCCTTTACCTGGTCTGGAATTATGCTTGGGCGCTTATTATGACTGGATGAAAAGGTGGTGGGGTGGATGGTGGGTGAACTTCACGCCATGGGCGAGATTTGCAAACGGTCATTCCTGTTAAAGATTGGTGTTTGCTTCTGCTTCAAAAAGCTTGCATGCATGCCTTTGAAGATGTATTTGTTTAGATACCCCCTCGATTAAGACGAAGAGATATTGTTTATTGTTGACGCGATCTTGAAAGTAAAGTATGTAGTCCTGTGCTATCCCAACTCAGGACTCAATGTACAAATAAATATACGGCTTGAACGTATTTATACTACTAATAGCAACCTAACCTTATACTACGCCACAGCCAGTAACTTATGTATCTGCCTAACTTTGGCCGGGGGGAGGGGGGATGCTCAGCCACTGAGCAGTGACGTGCATGGCGTAGCCGTGTGGCTGATGAAATCTAGGTATCTCCTTGTTGGAACTTGCCGAGGATAACAAAAGGCCCCTCCCTGCCTTCACTCTATCGCTATGAAGTCGGGTCGATTCTCTCGTTAATCCTTCGTTCTTGCCTGTGGGACCTTCATTTCCCGCCTTATGGTTCTCAATCTGTAGCTTAATTCGACCTTACCTTCGTCTACCCCCACATTTCGCCTACTGCGCATGAACTAACTAGAGCCCACTCGCCGAAGTCCGATTAAGCTGTTCGACCTTCGATTCCTTCTGCATCTTCCGCCGCCGCCTTAGCCTGCCGCCTATGAAATCAAATCGAAACCACTAGAGAGAGCACGATTTTCATAATTAGACTCGCCCCCGTTTGACGACTATCAGGATTAACTGCCACGATTCACCGATAACTGCACCTCAAACAACCTACACCTCATTTCGAGACCCACCCGTGCGCATCGCCGTTGACCTGCATCCGCAGCAAAGCCAAAGCATCTCTTCCTCACAATTGGACAGCTTATACTCGTGCTTGAGCCTCCGTCGCATACGTGCTGCGTGGCTTTGTATCTTTTTCTGTTGCAAAATTCGAGCGTGGACGGAGGCTAGGTTTGCGGTGGAGATTTCTCTACTGCATCCGCAACGACACTGTGATTGGATTTAGTGACCAAGTATCAAGATGCGGGACGGTGGCTTGGGGGGCAAATTGGTGAAGAGGATGAAACGATTTGGGGATACTGTGAGTTTCTTGGGCTACGGTCATGCTCTTCGTGCTCCGTGTCAGGTATCTGGCTAATCGAGACGACTCCCGACTGTAGTTAAACCCTGATGATGCGTACCTAAGCTGTGAGTTCATACTACGGGCCCTTCTGGTAAATATTCAGTCGTGGCACCGAAATTCAACTAACTGGGACTTGTTCATGGATAGATCATGATATTCGATGTATGTTGTCCTTGACTCTTGCAAAGTCCGGAGAGATACTGACAAGGAATTTAGTAACCAGAGGAGACATGCAATCCTTAAAAGATGACTGGCTCACCGACAATGTTCGTTAATATCGTATTATTGGTCATTCATGCACATTGCTTGTAGCTGGATTCAGAGCTGACATGATATACCTACCTGCCTAGGTAATTTCTTTCTGGGAAGAGTGTGTTGGCCCCGGATTCTCTTCTCTCTTCGATTTCAGAACTGATGATATGCGCCAGATATCTCGAGCGCGAATTCCTCTCCCATTCCAAATCCGCCAATATCGTTCTCCTGCGCCCCAGCATGTCCTTTATGATCCTCCAGACCCCAGACCCTCGAACTCTCCGCGAAGCCCTGCCGGACTTTTCCCGCACTACGCACGTTTTCCTGCCGATCAATGACTGCCGCAACGTCACCGAAGCCGAGGGTGGCACACACTGGTCATTGCTGCTTGTATCAATTGTTGACGGCCTCGCTTTCCATTATGATTCCCTGCCCCCCGGAAACTTCTGGGAGGCGCAGGCTGTGACGATGAAGTTGGGGAATTTGCTGAATCGGAATATCCGATATGTCCATCTGGAAGACTCGCCCGTTCAGGAGAACGGAAGTGACTGTGGGGTGTTCGTCTGCTTGAGCATGCGGTATCTTTTGTTGAAGCGATTATTGACGGCGAATACGAACGAGAAAGTCAGTTTAAGTCTAGGCGGAAGAAAGGTGGATGCGAGATCCGGCAGGAAGGAAATTGCGCGGATTATTGAGGGGTTCAGGAAGGAAGGGGAGCGGCTACGGTCGTATGTTTTCCTTGATCACGATACCCAACGGGATACTAATGAATGGCTGAATAGGGCGAGTATGAGCCCAATGGGCCATAGGTCGACAAGTCCGCCCAGGATCGAGTGATGGGTGATGTTTCTGTATCAATTGAAGGGACAGCTTTAAGCTGCTGGGTGGACTGCATATTAATAACGAAAAGGCTCAGGAAGATAGGGAGAGGGGCGGTTAATGTTTTGGCAACCCGTTCCTCTTCTCTATTCCGACTTCACTATATTGTTAATTCATCATCCAACACACCAGCTCTGGGGGTGGAGGGTGTATGCCTGTTGTTTGCTTTGGTGGGGATGGATACGAGACGTTGAGCATGGCTGGCTGGCTGGCTGGCTGGCTGGATGAGCGTTCTTAACATGATCATCTTTGGCTTTTCATTTTGTGTTTGTTCAGTAATGACATGATACCTCTGTTCTCCCGAACCAGACTAATAAGCTATCTGAAATACATATAAAATGAGATATCACGGTTGACTTGGCCTTGTCTGTGCTTCGTGTCTTGGTGGTATAGAACTAGCTTCTGCTTCTACTGCTTCTATTGCTCCTACGGCCTCTTGCGCTTCTTCTGCAGACGGCAACTGCCCTCGTCCTCTGCTCCTTCCTCGAACAACACTTTCCCACCCAGCCAGCACCTTCCTCCATACTCTCTTGACATGATACCACAGAACAGCAGCTATGAATCCCCTCATCCTCTTTCTCTTCTTCTCTTCTTCTCTTCTTCTCTTCTTCTCTTCTGATGTCGTCCACTCTTTTGACAATCCATGAACCTGGTATGGCGTGCCAACCAGCCAGGTACTGCTGACCGGCCCACAGATGAGCTAGCCCTGCTTGCAGAGGTTGTCCGTCGTGGGTGTAATAACAGAGCCACCGTCTGGGGTATTAAGTCTTATACCCTCGGGGGATTGACTTTCCTTTGCTTTTCCTATGTCGGGCCTGGGAATTCTTGCGTGCTTCTAAACGATGACTCACTGTATCGTCTCGTCCAGGCGTGGATTGAGCTTAATGTACCATGGGACGGTGACCTGTCAATACCACTTTTGTCCCGAACTCTTTGAATCGCAAAGGCGTAGACTACTTCATATTGTAATGACTAACAAGCTCATGGCGGCTGATGTATACGGAAGCTATCGGCAAGACGAATAATGGTACGTAGCATAAGAGAATGAACCCACTGAGTAGTCTTGAAGATACATGATATTCTACGGTGGAGTAGGATAGGAGTAACCGGCGGGGTTTCCAGGTTTTCTGGAAAATAAACAATTTGGTAAGAAATAGAGTATCTGTAGTACATCAGCACGGGGGTATCCTCCGAATTGACATGGGAAACAAGACGGATGGTTGAACGGGATGGCATATGAAGTGACATCAATAGCACGTTTCGAATAAACAAGGTGACTATGATCGTCGTCATCCGGGGATTCCCCTTTTCTCTCCAATCCCCTTGGTTGGTGGAAGTGATAATGAGGATGGGAATGGCTTGAGTGGGAAGAACACACCAAGAGAACCTTACCCTGTATGCTGACGGTATATATGATCTGAGATCCCAGCGGCAAGAGAGAGAGAGAGAGAGAGAGAGAGAGAGAGAGAGAGAGAGAGAGCTACAACAACATCCGTATCAAGAGTTGCCTTTCAACCCTCAATACGAACAAGGAAGCGGAGAAGGAGGAGGACCCTAATGGTCGTCGCCCTTGGCAATCGTCCAACCTCAACTCCTCACCTTTTCCATGCCATGAACGGTTGGGAGTATCGGTGATCGTGATCGCCGTTCAGAGTGTGATGAAAACAGTCGCCTCTTCATTTGGGTGCCAGGGGGAGAGGGGGGCAGGGAATGTGTGTATTCCAAGTACTGTATATGTGAGAAAGAGGCCAAGTGTCTACCAACGGATGGAGTAATGTGGTCAGTCAGGTATGGAAAGGGTAGGTTGACTGCAGTGGCCTACGGTGGGAAGAAATGCGTGTTCCCAGGCCAAGGGTCGGTCCTAGATACATCAGGACTGCACAAACCGGTTTGCTTTTCGCAGGGTGCAGGGGTTCCAAGGTTTCTGTCTCTCCATCTCCCTTATCTTGGAAGGACTAAGTACTGTACAAGGCTAGATTGTACACATCGGAGTATGAGTAGCAGGTCACTCGTCAGATACCTTACTTGGATGCGGGTTAAGGTATTACGACTGGCCTAGCGTTGCTCATCTCACTGAACTACTGTACCCCGTACTCGGGACAAGTACGAGGAGCAGAGCAAGACGAGTAACAACGGGTTGGTAGGTTTAGAGTGGAATAACGTAACGATGGCTACTATGTAAATAGTCTCAGCCAACCGTACCCACTTGGCCTGGGTGATCGGCGGGGGGGATGATGTAATCGGATCATCTAATTGATCTGTGCACTAGGTTGCTCTCAACTCACGAGTATATGGGATGTGTAATACATGCTCTGGGAGAACGGAAGACAGTGGCTGGGGCGGGACGTGGGCTATATACTCGTACAGCATACTTTGGAAATTCAAGGTTGGGTGAATAAGCTTCTATGGTGGTGGTGGCGGGTTGATATCATTCCGGTGGGGAAGAGCGGCGGCGGCTGTGGCAAAGGGGGGTGGGTGGGTGGGCTTGGAAGTCATGACATAATTAATGCTAGGCATACGATACTGATGGGCGTTTAATGCAAGTACCTCGGTTGGTTGGAAAGACGAGCAAGACGAGCAAGATACTTGGTAACTCACGCAACAAACAGCCGAATTAGATGGACCACAGTGAAACAGTGGCTCTATCGAGAACACTTCAAAGAGGGCTGCAATGCCCAAGATTGAGATGGTTTCACCCGTACAAGACAACAAGACACAAGAATACAGACCATGAACGCCGACCCAATGACAAAAGCCAGATTATGCGAAATACTCTGGTCAAACAAGAACATTGTATACACAGTAGACATAGAAAAGACAAGCCACCCGAGCAATCCAGCGACGATCGAACGTGCCGGCCGCAATGGAAAGTCTATAGATAGATTGCGATCATCGTTCTGCCGGGAACATGCGTGATTAAGACAGGACTAGGATATATGTACCAAAGGGGATATGCGACGCCAATAAAGAGGTATAGTAAACCAGCAGTCGATACACACACCCACACATGAAGCCAAGCGAAAGTGGGAAAATCGTTCACCTGTCGAAGGAGAACAATGTGGATCGTGGATCCAAAAGTGAAAGGAAGCCCCGCGTGGTCGTGCGTAGACCATCTAGGGTGGAGTGGGGGTTTGGCGAACCTCCGGCTGGTCAGGTCGGTGCTTCTCCCGGGTGCGCATGTACATCCCATCGGACTGAGAGTCCACTGCTGGAGGACCGTGGATTGTACGAGGGATGCCCGACTGCGACTGCTGCTGCTGCTGTTGTTGCTGCGAGACGATCTCTCGAGCATAAAATTCTACCAGCATTGTGCCATACGCTTCAAGCTCTTCCACGGGGATCGAAAGACGAAAGTCATTCAAGAGAAGGAATTGGAGCTCAAGATGGTTGAGTTCAACCAATGGTAAACCCCCAACCTGTATGCAGCATTGGTGTTAGTTCTGTTGTATAGATGATTGAATTAGGAGCGAAGAAGACGGAGGTGGGTACCTTTGCATATCGTGAATTTGTGTAAAAGACATCGGAGAAGAATTTACTGGCACAAGTCACGCCTGCGATGACTAGCCGATGGATATTGAAACTATCCACGATAAAAAAGTGAGAAAGCGCCTCTTCCTCGTCCTCGACCTCCAAAGATGGAGACATGGACGACAAAGTGGACGGGTCTTGGGCGGCGAAGCTGGCAGAAGATGGTGGAGTGGCCATTGGAGAGGCACCTCCTGTCGTCTGTACATTCGACGATCGGAGCGACTGGGGCTGATTGCCATCAGTTCTTAGCATGGAAGCCGATCGGGCCTGGCGACGCCGCAATCGCTCAAGTTGCGACCGGTTGACGAGCTCCGTCATGCGATCGAAATACACCAGAAGACTGAGGAAGACTTCATAAGTGGTGGGACAATACTTGTGGATTCTCGTCAAATAGCTGAGAATGCTGATACTGGGTACATTCTTGCCATGAAAGGCAAGAACACTGGCGGCCTGTGGAGTGAGGTTCGAGGTCCCGTCCGGGGGTGGTATGTGGCGATGGATATGCTCATGGTGCATGTCGTTAGTCGTAGTTATCTTCGTCAAGAGCCCAGCTACCATCTCGATGATGTCCGTGACCGGCATGGAACTGATTTCGTACTGGCGCTCTTGAGGACCCCACTGTCGCGTCATCCGATCTCTATGTGCCAACATTTCCTCGCTCGCGAAGCTTTGTATATGGGACAGATCGCGGACCTTGATGCGACTGGGCGAGCTTGCCTCCGAGCCACCTAATGAGCGCAGGGACTGATGAGTCGGCCTCAACTGCGGTGACGCGGGGGATGAATGACTTCTGTTGTGTTGCGTGGATGCCGCGGTCGCGTGTGCATGGCTGGCGCTGACATGAGGGGCATACGTGTGAGGCGCGGCGTGGGCGTGATTATCGAAGCGAGATGGATGGCTATCGCTAGTGGTTGTGGTCATTGATGCTGAGTTCGGGTGGGCGCTTGTTATACCCGAAATGGTTGAGGAGGCCCGCGATGAGGGGTAAGAATTCGAGTCGGCAGGGTGATAGATATAAGGCGGAACATCCTGGGCGGTTTGGTGGGAGGGGAGGCGAGCTGAGGCGGATGTTGACGGCGGGGCTGTGGACGAGGTGGGGGTGGTATTAGACGATGCCGACCTAGAGCCGCCGCCGGTCTCCAGACGTGACGAGGCTTGGGTCTGCGACGCGGATCGATAGCCAGATTCCGAAGTAGGTATGGCGCCCCCCAGCATGTTGTAGGAGGACGTATCAAGATGATCCGATCGCGGATGATTTACGATAACGGATCCCATGTCAGGTTTAAACAGAAGTAAGTGAAGGTAATATATGGAAGGGCGGACAGTGGTCGGGGTTGAAATATTGCAACTAGAGCCCAGGCCGGCGAGCAACGGTTAGCGACTGAAGACGACGGTGGGTGGGGTCATTGAAGACCCAGGAAAGGCCAGGGTAAATAATGAGGAGAAAATCGAGATCAGATTGAAGAAAGTAAGTTGAAGATGGTAAGATGGTAGGAGGAGAGAGGGGGAGTCTAGCACGTAAAAGAGAGAGGGACAAGTACGAGATCCAGCAATTGATTGATGGGTTGATTACTTTAGATCGGTTCAATGAGCGAAGGGGGAGGGGAGCGCGGCGAGAGGAGTAGAAGGCGCAGAGAGGGTCTGGATCTGGAGATGCGGCGAGTGAGGGTCAGAGCACTGGGGAATGCGCGATAAACCCAACCCAAGCCTGGAGCGGGTAAGGAATCACAGGCGATGGACGGCGGTGGGAAACATGTCCATTGCGATGGGAGATGAGATAACGACGAGGACGACGAGATGAGTTAAAAAGGGGATGAAGGCTGGATAAGAAACACAACAAGAGAGGAGAAAGGGTGGCGGAGAAAAGTGGATGAATGGATGGATGGATAGATAGAGGAACTATGGCGACTGGCAATTGGAGAAATAGAAGAAAGTAAGATGGATGGGGGGAGAGGGAGAAGAGCTGGAGGAGAGGAGAGGAGAGGGAGAATGGAACGGAGAATGGGATGATGATGTTGATGATGCAGCCGCAGCCGTAACAGCACCAGTAGCACCAGCTAGAAGGGAGGGAACAAGAAACCCGGGCAGAAAGGCTGGGTCCACCACGACAAGATTCAGAGCCACTCAGAGCCACTCAGCAACACTCACTCTACCACCCAGCAAGACCCAGACCGACCCAAGGGTGGAGTTCTGGAGTTCTCAGTGCTTTATTCAACGGGGAAGAACGGGGGAGGAGAGGTTCCCTTCCCCAAATGCAGTAACCAAAGTAGCAAGTAGATGGATCGATCAAGCCGAAGACCAAGAATTTCCTCCCCAAAATCAAGGCAGCTGAGGTACCAACTGAGATGTGTGGATGATCACGTACGAGCGACAGAGAAGAAAGCAAACATAATAAAAAATAAAATCAAGCAAAATCAAGAAGAAGGTAGGAATTGGACAAAGAAATAGGAGGAGAAAAAAGAAACAAGAAACATTGGACAGGCTTGAGACGGAACGGACTAGATTATTATCGTTATCATGAGACTGAAATGATCCATCAAATGGGAGGTCTCTCTCCCTCTCTTCTTTCTGTCTTTCTCTCCTTTCTTCTCCGATTACCAGTCAAACATCCTACCCAATACATACTACGGACGACCCCATTCCGAGAAGTTACCAGTCGAGAAAGAAACACGCCTCGCATCGAGATGTTTCCGCTTTGGACTATATCCGGGTCAATCAGCCGTTCTTGTCCATGCTCCTTACTCCGTACGACAGGATGAGCCTGCATCAGAACATCTTCACCTACAGTATTAGTAGTATCAGGTACTCCGCAGGTACTGTACGTGCAGACGATGCCGCCCAGAAAACCGGACAGGATAGTGGCAGTTAGGATCATCCTCCGTCTGAGGGGGGATGGGCGAATCGCGGCTCTGCAGAGGCGCAGGTGTTCATCATCGCTGACTGATTGGTGCTCGTCCCAGAAAACCCTCGAGGCCTTTGACCGGTCACATCCTCGACCTCTACTAATGATACTGCTACTGCTACTTTAGTGGAGTAATCTCCTGTCTGATATAGCCTTAGCAGTACGAGCTACGAAATAACGAATACCTACGCCACTGCAGGCTTACCTATTTAGATTTGCCTTCTACTTAGGAAGCCTAAGACGAGGTGATACTTTGAAAGTGACAGCCTCTGACCGCCGGATCCGAGTGACATTTATAGTCAAGTCAGTATCCTCAGTCATGGCAAGCAGCCACCTCCGAGAGGGGCTCGACTCGAGCTGACGAGCAGCCCGTGAGGTCAGATACCAAGCCAAGCCATGCATATAATGGGGAAGCACCGCGCAACTTGCTAGAAGATATGACGCGATTCATGCATCTTCCTGACTCTCGGTTGATAACACCACGCCTTGTTTGGATCGTCCAGGAGAAGGCTGATTTACCGCTTACATTGACGGCGAAATCATGCCCAGAATGAGGCTATCTTCAGTGCCATGGAGAAGGAAAGGTCATGTTGATCGACAGCTAACAACGATATGAATCATCACTTCAAACGGATACACTCATTAGTTGGTAACCCCGGGGCCAGTGTAACCCGTGTCCGGCAGGTAGAGATGTCGCTGAGCGCCCTTGGCCGTCAAAACCACCATCCGGATCACACCGCCAGAGCTACCATCCCACTTGATCGCCTCCTGCAGAGCTGACCGAACAAACTGAACGCCTTCTTCCTCAGTCATATTCTCCTTCCAGTTTGCATCGCAGTAGCCGTAGATATAGGTTGAGCCAGATCCGCCGATGGAGTACGATTGCTTGTGGAGGGATCCGCCCAGAGGTATCGAATAAACTTGTCCTCCGTGCCGAGGATCATATCCGGCAATAATGATGCCAGCACTAAACATCGCCATAGTCAATAAGAAAAGCAATTCTTGTGACTCGGAGGGGCACAATGAACTTGCCTTAGCATGTCCTTGTTCTCATAGCACAGCTCTTGGAACAGTGCAGCGGCAACCTGAGTGCTGGGCGCCTCGTTGTTTGTGATCGAGTACATGTTGAGATGGTAGGATACAATATCAGCCACGGCCTGTGTGTCGGCAGCCGACCCCGAGCGGCAGCACCAGATCGTGTCATGCACCTGTGTCAATTTGTCGGTAACCCGGTTGGCGATGTACGCTCCAGTGGTCGTTCGGCTGTCGGCACCCAATATAACACCGTCCTTGAAGTTGATTGCCATACTGATTTCGGTTAAAGGGTGTCGTAATGATGTAGGGAAAGTCTCACTCACATTGACGTTCCGAGGCTGGATAGGCATGGTATATCAGTTGACTGCCTCACTCGAGATCTTGATTCCATGAGCTTACTTGACTTCACCCTTCTTCAGGTGGTTCATATCGACATGAATACCATCTATGAGAGCCGTGAGCTTTGGCATGACGTCCAGTAGATGAGGTTACCACTGACCTTCACCGAGCATCCCCGTCATGCCGTGACCGACCATACTGACTGACGAAATTTGGGGGGGAGGGGAAATAAGTAAGGGTATGTATATGAGCTGTGTGCCGAAGAACGGTTTCTATGAAGTAAAATTGAAAATATGAAAATTTATGATGATTGCATTCAAGAAGTATCTGGCTGAAGGAGTTGATGGGTATGAGCTCTGACGGAGCTGTCAAGGCAGGCGAGCGCGTTACGTTGCCAGCAGCTGGAGCTGGCTCCGCCGGGCGGTGAGACAGCGTATCTTTCCTACTGGACAGCTCCCCATCCCCCGCAGGTCTCCTGAACGACTCCCCCCCCTCCAGCCATCACTTCCGATGAAACAAACCGACGCTTTAATTTCCGCTAGACCAGTATCTGGCCGCTTGCGAAGCTCACTCGCATTATCGTCCTTGCCGTTTATATTCGACTTCTTTGTCTAGGGGTTCAAGTTAGCTTCACTTGCTTGATTCAGTTCCAACTTTGCAACGCCGTCCTGTCGCATCGGCTATACTATTCCGTTCGCTAGCATGTCTGAGTCGCCGCCTCCACCCTCGTGGACTATCGCCAGCATGGCCAATAGTGCCGTCCAGTTTCTGCGCCTGCCGGTTCTGGCCTCCTCTGGTCTCGCCGTGGTGGCCAGTGGTCTGTTGTACTTTAAGCAGAAGTAAGCAGTGACCCGCATTTGCGCCTGGCCATGATGATAGCGATGCCTGAGATCTAACCCCGTGCGCAGTGAGTTGATCTATCCTCGAAATGTCCCTGTCGACGCCCGGACCAATGTCCCCAAGCCACAGCAATTCGGCATCACAGATTACGAAGAGCTCCATCTTCCGACCCCGGACGGGGAAACACTACATGCCCTCTTCATTCGTCCTACACGAAAACGCCTCGCTCAAGACCTTACAGTATTGATGTTTCATGGGAACGCGGGTAACATCGGCCATCGTATCCCCATCGCCAAGATTCTTCAGGAAATTCTTGGTTGCAACGTGTTGATGTTGGAGTATCGCGGCTACGGCCTTTCGACTGGTACTCCAGATGAGGCAGGATTGAAGGTTGATGCGCAAACTGGTTTGGATTATCTGCGACAAAGGCCCGAGACCAAGGATAGCCAGATCGTTGTCTATGGACAAAGTCTGGGCGGAGCGGTCGCGATTGACCTTGTGGCTAAGAACCAAGACAAGGGTGCAATCGCTGGTTTGATTCTCGAAAATACCTTCCTGAGCATTCGCAAATTGATTCCCACGTATGTTCGGCTTGACCCACCGCACTCCGATTACCTACAGTTCGAGAGCGATTTTCTGACATTTCTTAGGGTCTTTCCACCGGCGCGATATCTCGCTCGTTTATGCCATCAATACTGGACAAGCGAGGATGTATTGCCTAAAATCACCAAGGTGCCTATTCTCTTCCTCAGCGGGCTGAAGGACGAGATTGTACCGTAAGTATAAACTGCCTCTTTTCCACAGATCCAAAATTTAACAAGCTACGTAAACAGACCGTCCAACATGACGCAGCTTTTCGCTGTCTGCAAGTCCAGCCGTAAGGTCTGGCGTACTCTGCCCAACGGTGGACACAATGATAGTGTCGCCGAGCCAGGGTATTTCGAACACATTCATTCTTTCATCATGGAAGAGATAGTACGGCATGAATATTGAACAATTTTTCAACAGTTGTGCATCTCCTCGTTTCATTCATCGGTGTGTTTGTTGTTCTGTGACGATATCATGTTTGTTCAGCACCAGTCCCGAGCCTATGATTGATTGCTCGAGATGTTTTTGTTTTGCCTTTTCTTGCGCAGCTTCTTGTTCTTTGATTTCCCCTTACGTTGTATTAGAGTGGTGTTTCGGATGCTTCTGGCTGGCTGCCTTCGTGTTTATTTTCAGGATCTTATGTCTCAACCAAACATGGGCTGAGGATCCGCCTGTGTTTCCAAGAGCAATTTAGCCCAATACCTAATGTAGACAACTTTTTATCGAGCGGTGTCAGATAGATTCTGTAATCAGTGTTCGCCCCCGATCAATTGTCCCTTGAGAGTTGCTCAGTACCACCTCATGAGGGGTGACCCGCTATGAGTAATCTCGTTGGCAGGATGAGTCGAAGGCGCAGCACTAGACCAGCATGAGTCATGCTACAGAAAAAGCCACGCTGATCGGGATCTGACAGCTTTCCAGGCCCTGGATTATACATGAGTTCGAACCATTAAGAAGAGTGTATGTCCTGCGTAGCCCGAAATTTGCGAAGTAATCGGAGTGTGAGGAGTCCCGACAAGAGGCCTGACCAGCTCTCGGAGGCAAACCGCCGCCACCCGAACCACATTCACCCGTTCGTACTTCAGGAACAAAATCACCGTTTGAGTTCCACCAGTTTCTGTTGGTTTTTCAAGTGGCGGCCTCCTGCCTGGTCTCAACTTGCCTTTGGCCTCCTTCTACAGCTATATCGGAATCGATCAGCTCACAGAATTTCATTCCACTCGAGCGGAAGCCGATCTTCGATCTTTTCGCGGCAGTAATCTCCTTCTTTTCAAGCTCCTTATCAGCGACCGATTGATCTACGCTTTCCCTGTTTTGTACTCGGTTCTTGATTGGTGCTATTGGATGGACGTGCTCTCTCCGCGTGCAATTTCCGAATTCAACGCCCCTGTAAGGACCTTGGAGCCAACAATGTCGAACTCTCCAGCCCTCGTGGCAGACAGCAACAACACTACCCCGCGCACGAGGTCAAGACGCGGAGGTAGAGGCCGTGGTGGCGATCGCAGTCGTTCTCACAGACCTGCGCCACCGAACCAGACACAGGCACAAGCGCAGTCTCAAGAGCAAACGCCAGCACACCCGGCTACGAATCCTCCATCGCAACAGAACGAACCTTCTGCGACACAGACCGCGCCCGACGCAAACCATCCACCAAGAGGACCGAGGGGAACCCGAAGAGGGGCGAGAGGCGCAAGTGCACAGTCGAATGGAGGCCGACGACATGGTCGAGCACGCGGGGGTGCCGACCACTCAGCGGTCACTACCGGGGGGCGAAGATTTGAGGGTCGACTGACGAAATCAGAGCAGCCAGAGGAGACTCAGGATGTCGGTCCCCACCAGAGCGCAGGCGCGGAGGACATTGCTGGATTGAGAGCGGATGCGCCAGCATTCGTCCCAGGAGGGCCAGCCGGAGAACTACCTCGACAAAGCGGACGTGCAAAGGGCAAATCGAAAGCGAAGAACCCAAGCCAGGCTCGATCGGCGCCCCCTCCTCCGCCAGCGCCCAAAGTTACGACGAAATCATCGGCACCGGACATTGCCACTCGGATCCACGAAGACATCGCCCACAACCTCTACGAATGTCCGATCTGTACAGCTGAGTTGGGCAAACGGTCTCGTATTTGGTCCTGCGGACTGTGTTGGACGATTTTCCACTTGAGCTGTGTGAAGAAATGGTCGAGGAACGAAGGCGCGGCGGCGCAGGATGCGGCGCGTCGCCGGGGCGAGGAGGGCGAAAACAGTGTTCCTCGTGCTTGGCGCTGCCCGGGCTGTAATCTGCCTCATGAAGTATTTCCTTCCTCTTACACCTGTTGGTGCCAGAAGGAGGTTGACCCGCGCTCATTTCCTGGTCTCCCGCCCCATTCATGTGGACAGACCTGCGCGCGATCGCGAAAAGGTTGTCCACACCCTTGCGATGCGACGTGCCATGCTGGTCCATGCGCTCCTTGTACTGCTATGGGTCCGACCCAGGATTGCTTTTGTGGGCGAAACTCGTCTACGAAGCGTTGTCAGGACACCGACTACGATAATGGATGGAGCTGCGGCGAGGTATGTGGTGATTTGCTGCCTTGTGGTGAGCACACCTGCCCTCGGCCGTGCCATGAGGGCCTCTGCGGTGCCTGCGAGGTCAAAATCGATGCGCACTGCTATTGCGGGAAATCGCAGTCTGAGATGCTCTGCAGTTCCAAAGACGAGGAGATGGATAGTGAAACCTTGCGCATTAGTGAAGACGACGGCGAGGAGGAGCTTGTAGAATGGGTTGGATGTTTCAGCTGTGGTGATCATTGCAATCGACAGTTTGATTGTGGGCTACACTCGTGTCAGAAGTCCTGCCACGCCCAGGATGCGCATCCCGCTCATTGTCCCCGATCGCCCGATGTGGTGCTTTTCTGCCCGTGTGGGAAAACGCTTCTAACCCACGTTGCGGGTTATTCGCCCCGAACCACTTGCGAAGACCCCATCCCCAATTGCTCGAAGCCTTGCGGGAAGCCCTTACCATGCGGACACTCTTGCGAGCAAGTCTGCCATACTGGACCGTGCGGACCTTGCTTGCAGAAAGTCACGATCCATTGCCGATGCGGCCGCAATGACTTCCGGACGACTTGTTTCACGGGTGACTATGAGCCACCTCAATGTTTCCGTATCTGTAAAGCCGGCTTGCATTGCGGTCGCCATGCATGCGCAGAGCGCTGTTGCCCTGGCGAACAGAAGGCGATTGAGCGTCAGGCTATACGGCGGAAGCTCAAATCGCATCTTCGACCAAGCGACGAGGATTTCGAGGCTGAACATATCTGTACCCGGGTCTGTGGCCGTATGCTGAAATGCGGACGGCACACATGTCCGGAGATCTGTCACAAAGGGCCCTGTAACACTTGCAGGGAGGCAATCTTCGAAGAGATCCCGTGTAACTGCGGTCGATCTGTCTTGTATCCGCCTCTGCCTTGTGGGACACTGCCTCCAGCTTGCTCACACCCCTGTGAACGCGTTAAACCGTGCGGTCACCCGCAGACGCCCCATAATTGCCACACCGACGATGAAAATTGCCCGAAATGCCCGTTCTTGACGGAAAAGGCGTGCCTGTGCGGCAAACGTGTGCTGAAGAATCAGCCGTGCTGGCTTGCAGATGCACGGTGCGGACAGATTTGCGGCAAGCTCCTCAAGTGTGGCTCTCATACTTGTAAGAAGAACTGTCATCGACCGGGTGATTGTGAGGATGCTTCCCAGCCTTGTCAGCAAGCCTGTGGGAAGACCAAGTCCCTGTGTGGTCACCCCTGTACTGACCAGTGTCACGCTCCTTATCCGTGCCCCGAGAAAACGCCCTGTTCATCCATGGTCGCAGTAACATGTAGCTGTGGACGACTTCGTCAGGAGCGACGTTGCAATGCAGCCAAGGCTGTTGTGACCAAGGGCCACCTCCAGCAGGCGCAGCGACTTCCATCAGCGTCCCCGCTGGCGTGCGACGAGGAATGCGCCCGCCTCGAGCGTAACCGTTCTCTGGCGTCTGCGCTTGGCGTCGATATCAACCCAACGACGACTGTCTCTCAGACGCTGACCTCCACCAACCTGCCCTATTCCGCCGAAACTCTCGATATTTACCTCCAGCTTTCGTCGTCGTGTCCTCTATCCACTCTCCAGTCCTACGAATCGACCCTACATAGTCTCGCCACGAACAAAAACCCAGCAAACCGCTCCACCCGTTTCCAACCCGCCAAATCTCCCCTCCGTGCCTTCGCGCACTCCCTCGCCGCCGACTGGGGCTTTGCCAGTGAGAGCTTCGATCCGGAGCCTCATCGCCATGTGTTTGTTCTCAAACCCACTGCCTGGACTCCCCCCCTTCTGGGCATGGGCAACGGCACCACCATTGGTATTGGCGGTATGAGCGTCGGTGAATGCGTAAAGCTACGTGATCGCCACCGCCTCAAGGAACAGGAAGAGCAGCGACTCGCTGCAGCGGAAGCAAAAGCCCAGCGCGAAGCTGCTCGAGCCCAGCAGAATGCGAACGGCGAAGGCGGTTGGGCCCAGGTCGCAGCTTCAAAGAGAAGTAACGGCCTTGGTAGCTCGCGGAGCAGTACGCCTGGTGTCCAAACGCCTGGTGGCAGTTCTTGGTCTACGACTATGTACGCTGCTCTTGCGGGTGACGACAGCAGTGCTTCATGGGATGCTCCCGTTCCACCTCAAGCTAAGAAGGAGAAATTGGTGTTGCGGTCCGGTGTGAAGCAATTGAGGACATCAAGTTCGATTCTTGATCCGGGTCGTGGCGAGTCAGTGCGAGATCCCAAGTCGGATGGAGAAAAAGAGGACGCTTGATTTGTCGATTTGCTCGTGGATGAAGAGCCACTTTGATGTCTTGCAATCGCTTTCAAGGCTCGGATGATGCTATGTTGGAAGACATGATCCTCTTCCGGACTGACTTAAATCTCCTTGTTGTTCTTACCATTCCTACACCATTTTTCCCTACTCAAAAACGGTCACGATTTTAATGTTTGTCGCTGCTATTCGGTTTTTTCTATGGTTAGCGTGCATAGCTGGCCAGTCGTGTGCTTAGTTAGAAAGACCAAAAATCGATAGAATCGAAATTTGGCAAATCAATATCATTCTATGTATACTTTTGAATCATAGACATGTTCTGATAGTTGGTAGATGCCGGCTGTAGCCATGCTGACGTACCTGGCTGTCTGGGCTGTACCTGTACTGTACTTGTACTAATTTAAGCATAAGCAGAACGTTAGTCAGCCCCAGTTAGCTGACGAGCAAATCAAAGCTGCCTACTTGGGGCTAAGGCCGGCTCAACCTTCCCAGCCGGCCAGTGTTCGGCACCAATTGCCTCTCCTCTATTTATTCCCTGGAGCGCAATCATCGCCTCAGCTCGTGGTATGTTATTATTCCACTCTAAATGAACTACCAAGTCTCAGCAAATCGGTCCCATCCGGACCTGAGGAACAACCTTGAATCTATTTAACCACACATCGTTCCATCGAACTGCGTCCGCAACGAAGCAATTCGTTTCATGTTCTTACCTCACTCCATTCCGGTACGCTCAACCGACCGTATGATACAGTAATTGTTCTCTAGACCGGGAGAACTTCAGCTAGCCCCGAGGCATCCAATAGCTTTCTACGCGCCGAAAGATCACAGCATCAGATCCCACCTCTGACTCCGTATCAAGTTCTGATCGAACTTGAACCGAGCTTAATGCCCTCGCGCCGCAGCCACACCAAATCCCGGAAGGGTTGCATTCAGTGTAAGAAGCGACATGTGAAGGTTTGCCATCTCTATCTCATACTAGCTGTGGCTGCTGTCCTTGCGTGCTGCCATCTCAATTCCATCTTCCCGCCAACCGAACACCTTGGGATATGCTCAGCGGACGTTCAGTCTCTGCTTCCGACCAGGCTCTGAACAGTTTATCGCTGACAGTAGTACACAGTGCGACGAAGAGACGCCTCGATGTGGTTTGTGCAAGAAGAGAAAATTGGATTGCACGTATCCGTCCAATGATGTCGATAGTCAAAATCCCTCCACACCACATGAATCACCCGAGGCGGCATCCGGCCCAGAAGCAGATTCGTCGCAAACGCGAATGCTTGAAATGCGATTGTTCCATCATTACCTTACGGAGACATACATCACTCTCTGCCAAGGCCGCCTCGACGCACATCATTTCCAAGTCGTCATCCCGCGAATCGTGGTGTCCCACCCATTCCTGATGGACAGTCTTTTGGCGCTATCGGCTCTGCATCTTGCCTATCTGGAGCAGCACGACAACCGGTCGTGGCTGGAGATCGCGCTGAAGTATCAGAGCCGCGCCTGCTCGGCCTTCAGTCGCGTCTTGGCGGACATCTCCCCGGAGACTTGTGGGCCAGCTTTTATCTGCTCCATTTTCATCATGTTGTGTGCAACGGCGTATCCCTGTGTTTCCGAAGACAGACAGACATTCGAGCCGTTGTCTCATGTATTGGAGATTCGCCAGCTCATTGCTGGCTGCGCACTCTTATTTGTGCAACTCAACGGCATGGAATATCGGGGTGACTTGCAAGGTTGGTTGAAATGGAAGGATGATGAAGTCGATCAGGATGGCAACCCTTATCAGTAATTCCTCACCCGTCTCACATGTCTGACCTGACCTGGGGAATTGACTTTTCTAATAGAGTGCGGGAATCTCAACTGAATCTTAGGAGGTATGTTTCCCTCGCCTGTCTGACAGCACTTACCTCGCAGATGCTAATTCACTTCAAGTGCAATCATGGATTCCTTGAAGGGCGTCCAAGAGAAGTTTAACGGTATCGGAGGGCCAAATCAGCCAATATACCTGGCCACTTGGCAGATTCTTCATGAAGCAATCAAGAGATGGCCATTTGGCGGCCCGAACGGTGGTATAATTGCATGGCCTATCAATATTAGCGAGGCTTACATCGATCTGCTCAAGCAGGGTGATTGGGTGGCTCGGATTCTTTTTCTACACTACGGTGTTGGACTGCACTTGCTTTCAGACAAATGGTTTGTTCGAGATTGGGGCCGACGCCTCATCGAGACCGTTTTACAACCGGAAGATGAAATTCCCTCAATCTGGGCGAGCACTATATCGTGGACCAGAAGAGCAGTTGAGCTCGAAGAATGATGGGGTTTCATACGTGTCAGCTTGAACTCCAACCAGCCTCATAAGCTTTAGGTTCGCTGAAAAGAGGATGATCCATGGCAGATCGGGTCTTGAACTTGGTGAACCCGGCGGGAAAACAAGAGCAAGGAACCTTGTTATGACGAAAGACGTGCGGCATTGGTGTTCCAGTAGCCGTTCTGAGATGGTTGAAACCCGACTTTGATATATCTGGATTCCTTCCCTCTGCCTAAAGGTGCATCCGAGACCTTCTCTGAATCCAAAGGTGATTGTCCGGGTAAGGGCCGCCTGGGAATTACCTCATGATCGGGGACTGGCTCCATAGGTCTTCCAAACGCAGCCATTCACTTCTAGCATCGACGAAGGGCGCTTCTCGTCAGGATCATCGTTCAGAGAAATCAACAAGATCCCCAGACTCTCTCTGATCACAAGAAGTATGGTTGTTTTGCGAAGGGTCACGGCTACCACACTTCTTTTCAAACGTGCTCACGAGGACAAGAGACGCGAGAGGAGGCTTATCGCGGCCTCCCGCTGCCTCCAGATAACTTTCACAATGACCAGTCATAATCTCTAGCGTGGCCAAAACCCCACTCCAGGTCAGGGTGCATGGTTGACAACAGCAGAAACTCTCCGGCTTTCCGAAACCTGAGCCCTGGTTTTAAGAATGCATCGAGTCGGACAAAAATTTGCTACGCCGGATTCAGAGATTTGATTACCCCAAATTATGCAGGTCACGTTTCAAGATGAAATTTGATTGGACAAGGCAGGTATTGCGCCTTTGGATGAGCTTGGTGTGCCATCGGGTGACCAGGCCGAAGTGGCGGTTCTGATTACTGTTGGTCAAGGCTGATAAGGAACCAGGCATGCGGGCCTCTGCAGGAAACTAAACTGTCGTGGTCGTTATCGCCGTTGGAGTCTGTCCGATAATGGGGGAGGGGGGGTGGTCAGGGAGCCCTTCGCCTCTTAAATAAACATAACGGGTTCCGAATCTTCTTTATTTTGCATCTTTCACTTGTCTTCACTCTAAATGATATTTTGTCCTGCTTAAGCTAGGCTGACTCTCCCGATTGTCGATCCCCCGCCTCTCTGGCGCATTTCGGAATTCTAGAAGTAGTTCTCGGCCCATCGTTCTTTCCAGTGACCGCATCCGGCCACCAAGTACTAAACATGCAGGGTTGCAGACCGGACCTCATTGACAACCAAGATGCAGAGAAACAGGTACTATGACGAAGTCCTCCCCTTTTCCAAAAATTGCTTCTGTTCTCCAAATCACTAACCTGCATTTCGCCTAAAGCCACTCCTCGAAGACTTGGAACGCCCAGTCGCGTGCACTCAGTCGGTGTTATCGCACGATAAGCCCAGGAACAGGTCGAGAATGTTCCGTATCCTGCGATTTACCCTGTCAACCACACTAGTCTTAATTGTCTTGGTCATACATCTGCCGAACGTACTCACGTCGCCTCTCGACTATGCGACTCGTCAGCTGGGCTGGGACGATGAATTGGAGGACGGCAAGCGTGGCGCCGTAGCGAGTGAGAGTGCAATTTGCAGTCGCCACGGAACCGATATTCTACTACAAGGCGGGAACGCTGCTGATGCTGTGAGTGTCTGAAGTCTATTGACTTGGACGATACGGAGCTCCCATATGGCGAGGATCGGTCGAGTATTGTGCTGACTTGACGGTCGGTAGATGGTGGCAACGATGCTCTGTGTAGGGGTTGTGGGTTAGTGATTCCCCTTCACTGGTGGTAATGGAATCTCTGGAACTGATTTTCCTTCCGCTCAGGAATGTATCACAGCGGGATCGGAGGGGGTGGATTCATTCTAGTGAAAGACCCTCACGGCGCGTTCGAGTTTATCGATTTTCGCGAAACTGCCCCAGCCGCGGCATATGAGGACATGTTTGTCAACAACACAGAAGCAGCTGTCACTGGGGGTCTTGCAAGGTAACGAGCCATTCAACTCACGAGGAAATACCTTGATACTAATAAGATTTACAGCGGTGTTCCAGGCGAGCTTCGTGGTCTCGAATACCTTCACCAGAAGTATGGCCTACTTCCTTGGTCAACCGTTGTGCAGCCAGCAATTAAGACCGCGGATGAGGGCTTCCCGGTTGGCCCGGATCTAGTACGCTACATGGCTTCCTCGATTACTGACGCAGGCGGCGACGACTTCTTGTCTAACGACCCGACATGGGCCATTGACTTTGCTCCCAACGGAACTAGACTCGGCCTCGGCGATATCATGACACGGAAGCGTTATGCCAGGACCCTTGGGATGATTGCTGAGAAGGGCGCTGATGCATTCTACTCTGGATATATTGCAGAGACAATGGTCAATGCTGTGCAAGCAGCCAATGGCACGATGACTCTTGATGACCTTCGCAGCTATGCCATTGCAATTCGGAATATCTCCCAGATAGACTATCGTGGATACCAAATCACCAGCACCACGGCTCCATCTAGTGGAATTGTTGCGCTGAACGTACTCAAAGTCCTAGATACCTACGACAGCTTCCTCGCCGCTGACAATGTGAACTTGAGTATTCATCGGCTGGATGAAGCCATTCGGTTTGGATACGGACTGGTACGTCTCACCTTCTGGACCAAGTATGTAGGGGTCTGTGTGACTGGGCTGACTCTATAGTAGCGGACAAACCTGGGAGATCCTGATTTTGTGGACGACATGGGAGAATACCAGGGTAACATGCTTGAGCAATCTACTATCGATGAAATCCGGGCGAAGATCTCCGATTCTAAGACGCAAGATATAAATGCATACGACCCTCGAGGTATTGAGAGCTTGGATACGTACGTACCTCAATGAGACGCCTTCTGAGACAAGCTGATGATGTCTGTAGCCCGGGGACCTCTCATATTGCTACTATCGATCACGAAGGCCTTACTGTATCTGCCATCACAACGATAAACTTGCTTTTCGGGAGCAAGGTTATGGTCCCCGAGACAGGAATTATCATGAACGACGAGATGGATGGTAGGTGAAGGCAACCAGACCTTATTTCTTCTTGGCTAATCTGCTTCGCAAGACTTCTCTATTCCTGGCTCATCCAACTCGTTCGGATATGTTCCCTCTGAGGCGAACTTCATCCGACCTGGAAAGCGCCCGTTGTCGTCCAGTACACCAGCCATCGTGACTCACCCTAACGGCACTGTCTTTTTCGTGGCTGGTTCGGCGGGCGGCAGTCGGATAATCACCGCGACCATCCAGAACATCATCCACGCTGTTGATGGTGGTCTCACGGCAGCTGAGGCGCTAGCTCAGCCTCGTCTGCACGATCAGCTGATCCCTAACCAGGTCACATTCGAGTATAGCTACAACAACGACACCGTGGCCTTCATGAAAGCGCGCGGGCATAACGTGACATGGGTTGCGCCGATTCAGAGCTCCGCGCAAGCAATCCGTGTTCTTCCGAACGGAACGTTTGATGCTGCTGGGGAGCCCAGGCAGCTGGACTCGGGAGGATTTGCCGTCTGATCGAGTCACTCGTCGCCTATGCGGCTCGCGGTCCGGGACTGGCCGCCACATACTGTGAGCACTGGAGTCTAAGAAGTATATACAAGCATATAGAGCTTGGATGTTATTTCCTTGAAGAATACCGACCCACGGATCTACTCTGCGATCGAAATTCATAGATTTTGATAATGAACGAAACGGAGAGCGGGGGTGTAGTCGATCTGATCGAACTCCGCAAGAAAGGGATGCCAAACTTGGTCAATGTAATCAAGAGGTGCACCGAAAAAGCAATTACTTCGTACAGTTGACTTTGCGTGGTAGTACGATGACGATGATGGGCGCCATCCCTTCCGCAGCCCGACGCAGCCTGAGGCATCCGAGGGGGGATCCCGTGCCAGAAGCGGTGATGCCTGAGGTGTTCCGAATGTACTTTACCGCCAAGTTTTGATGGTGAGGATGGTGGGGATGAATGTTGTTGCTGGTTGATGTTCATCGCGAGTCCCTCCATTTGATTGACCTGAAATGCTTATCGATGGTCGAGACCTGAGACCTGGTCCTTTGAATGACCGATCACTTGAACCGACTTCTTTAGGGTGCGGACTGGAGTGGTGCTTCATGCAAGTAGTCTGTGAACCCCTCCTCGTTAGTCTGGTTAGTGGCTCTTTAGTCCAGTTCATAGGGAGGAGGTTCGGGGACCCTTCATCGGGTTGCAAGAATCCAACGAGTTGGAGAGGAGTCTGCGGGGAGGAGTCCATCCATCAGTCCAGTAGTAATTCAGGTTCAGCGAGTCTTCTCTTTCTTTTCAGTCTAGTCGCTCTCACCGCAAAATCGATCCCTCCCGCCAAATCTCCTCCCATGCACAGTCACTGCACTCTGCATTTCTCTCCTTCTTAGGATCATTGAATCACGATACTTCACGATACTCCAACATTGAATTGATTCGTCACTTCTTCTTATTTTACCGTTCAAGCGCCTGAACTATCTTTCAATTTCCTCCCTCGCCGACCCTTATCGTTCGTTTCCCTCCGCGCCCCTCACGGGATGCTGCATCGGTTCCAGCAGTCCCCTCGGTGGATTGACACAGGCGCCTAATTGGGCATTCGACCACAGGGAGTTGCGTCTGGTTCCAGATCTCTTAAGCGCCAGACGACGGAAGTCCGTCCGGTTCTCGGATCATCTGGACCTCCTTCTCGACATTGTGACACCACACAAACTCTTTCATCTTTTGCTCGCCTTGGGAGCTGTTTCGCTGGGCCCTCTCATCCCGCCTTCGCGATCTATAAGTCGAGGTAACTACTACAAACGCTATACAACCCCGAAATCGAAAAGCGAAAGTGGGGACGAAGAGCAAGGAGAACAAGGGGTTGTGTTGAGGGGGGAAGAGTGTCTTCCAACCTTCCATATCCACCTCGATTCGAAGCCTTCCGCCTGATTTCACCCACACCCACACCCACGTCATGTTCCATCTACCGTTGAGACCTAATGACCGAGATCGCGACAGGGACCGGACTCGCAAGGCGTCGACTTCC